CTTCTAAATGTTGTTGATGGCTTTCCATAAGTCAGAACAAATAGAACCTCTCACTCCAAAATGATCTGTAAGAGGGATTAAGAAAGACATCCTCCCTAAAAGATTATAGGTTCTTCTTAAAAGCACAAAGAATGGCCATTAGTACTTTCACAACCATCGATATGATCTTCCATAATATACTTAAATTCACACACAATAATATACTATGAAGTTTAATTCACAAAACCTTTTTCTTTTCTTTTTTCATCTGTCTCATCAAACCATTTTCATTTCTATTAAAAAATCAATTTTACCCTTACTAATTTTTACTCTGCCTATCACATTACATTTTTTTACTATTAATTTACACATTATATCCTATTTTTACCATCACATCTAAGAACATTTTTAGAAAACCAAAATCAAAATACACTCCACTTAAATATTTGATTGCGTTTATAATGGAGTAATTGCTATAGTGAAATTTGCACTAAATAGGACTAAAATATAATGACTTTCCTAATATAGGACTTTAACTTTTTTATTTCCTAAATAAGACTTAATAATGACCTAGTGGAATGAATAATATCCAGTAATAATGGACATTTACTCGAATAATGACTACTTGATAATGACCAAAGGTCCTACATTGGGAAATAAAAAACATATGGTCCTATATTTGAAAAGTCATTATGTTTTAGTTCTATTTAGGTAAATTTCTCATTGCTATATGGGTCGTGCTTTCCCATTGAATGGCGATGCTGGATCGGAGTATATAATAATCGGCCCGTTCGTAATAATCGGCCACTAGCGGTGTCACTGGGTTTTTGATGCACCTCCAGTGCTCCGTTCGTAAAATTGACGGTTCTTACCCCCTAACCCACCCCCTAAACCCCCCACCCTACCCCCACCCCTGCACCCCCACCCTACTAATAAATTGATTTTTTAAAATATGTGGCTATTATGCAATATAATACAAGTATATCTCAACCCTTTTGTCAGTTTTGTGGCTGTGGAATACGAAACAGAGTCCTGAGACAAGTTCAACATTTTGATTTGATAAAATCATACTCATATCACCTTTTATTTCCCAAAATTTTTTATTTAATTTTTTTTATAAAAATCATCTTAAATAAGAATAAACCTTAGAGAAAATGTCAAATTAGAAGTTGAAAGAATTATTTTGGAGAAAGTTCTCTGTATATTGAATTGGTTTGTGAAACTCTTGTCTTGAATACAAAGATCTAACCCTCTTTATATAGGAAAAGGGTAAAGTAAACAAGGAAATTTCTATTCCTACTAAAATAAGAATTAAACAAACTAGGAAAGATACTAAATACTAAACCTAATCCTACTAGGAAAGATACTAAACCTAATCCCAAAGGGACTCAGTTTCCTTCTTCAATCCCTCTTCCTTCTTCTGTCTCTAACACTTTCCTTCTTCAATACTGCTTCCTTCTTCTATCTCTAACAGAAGTTCAATATTTTTATCCCCTAAATAGAATTTTGCACTCTGGTAATGTGATATTCTACATAAACACTTTACAATATTTTTTGGTAATGTACATGATCATGATTTGCATTACAAATACATTTTAGCTCCTATTTTAAGAATAAAAATATGAAGATCTTATTTTAGTTTTTTTTCTATGTTTAGTCTTTTTTCCATTTTTAATATGTAAACTTTATTATTAAATCCTACTCTAATTTCCAAATAAATTATATTCCCTCCGTCCACAAATAAACTTTACATTGCGCGTTACGATGTTTGATTGAAGTTATTTTCAAATCATTTTATATGAAAAATGGTGTATAATTGAAAAATAAAAATTACATATTAAAAAACTATATCAAAAGATTTACCAAACTAGAGGTGACATGACTATATTATTTTATCAAATGGGTGACGAAAATAGGCCAACAAAGTGAATAAAATTTGACCCTTTGAATAGTGAACGTAAAGTTTATTTGTGGACGGAGGGAGTATTGAAAACATTTCAATTAAACATCGTAAAATTAAACATGTAATTTAAATGGAACAGGGAACTAGTACATTTGAGACCAACATGCTCAAAAGTACTATAAAGCTCAAGGCAGGGCCAGCCTTGACATTTTATGGGCCTTAGGCTAATTAAAAAAGTTTGGCTTCTCTTATAATTATTTTTTTTAAAAAATCAATATCACTTGATGAATTAGAATGATTGAATTTGTCATATTATTATTGTACTCCCTCCGTCTCAATTTATACTATTCAAAGGGTCAAACTTCATTTACTTTCTTTCTCTATTTTCGTTAACAATTTGATAAAATAAAGTACTATTGTCACTACTAATTTTGTAGATCTTTTGTTGTAGTATTTTAATATGTAATATTAATTTTTTAACTCTATACTATTTGTAATATAAAGTGATTTAAAATAATTTCAGTCAAACATGGTAAACCGAAACAGGCACTATAAATTAGGACAAAGGAAGTACTACATATATTTACTTGAAATTGAATGCTTAAAACCCTGAACTAATTAGTTTTTACAATAATATATTACTAGTACTATTAGAGAAAAAATAATTATGAGTCCCTTTATGAAATAGGTCCTAGGTGGCAGCCCCATATGCCTACCCCAGGGCCGGCCCTGGCTCGGGAAAGAACATAGGCTCAGAGAGTAGCATACAAATAGATAAGTTAAACTTTAATTTTAGACCGATGAATAAAAAATGAGATATATCTCTGGTATATACAAGGTTTATGCCTTGTGCGTAGTCGTTCTTATCACCGTTGGCAAGAGTCAAACTCGAATATTACACCATTTGCATCCCCTATTGACTATCGAAATTACGCCTTAGCAACATTGTTATTGAGTGAGACAAGTCTTCTCGAAAACTTCTCTGCTCCCCGGAGGAGAGCAAAAATCTAACTTGCCTCCTAAACCCAGGGGCGGAGGGGAGGGGGGCCTGCCACGGCACGTGCCCCCCGGCGAAGTGCTGGCGAAGAATATCTATTACCGGCGTCGGCTATGCTTGCTCTGACGACCCCCGCGTGCGACGGCCAAAGCGGAAGCTTAAGCTTCTGTCTTCATTTCATGAAATACTCCGTAGGTTTTTTTAGTGAAGCGACGTCGTTCTTTTTTAAACTAAAGGCCCAATAATTAGCCAAACGACAGCGTTTATGTTATTGCTGCGATTTTATAAAGAAAAATTGATATGAATACTCCCAGAAATTCGAAATTTTACAATAATACTCCCAAAATTAATTAAAGACTCTGGTGCTCCCATTTAAATTATAGGTTTACGTCACTACTCCCATTAAGCCTAATCAGCTTTTCCTACGCTTACATGTAATTAATTAAGCTAAGTTGGCATCTTAGTTGTTTTTTTGTTTTCATAAGAGAAAAAATTTATATAGGTACTCATAGAAATTCAAAATTTCACAATACTACTCCCAAAATCAAATAAAGACTCCAGTTCTCCCAAAAGTATATTCTCGTTGCACGTTACTATATTTGACTGAAATTATTTTTAAAGTATTTTATATGAAAAATGGTGTGAAATTAAAAAATAAAAATTACATATTAAAAAACTAATATAGTAATATGTAAAAATAATTTTTTTAGTAATATTAAAGATTAATTAATTGAGCTTAATTGGCATCTTAGTTATTTTTTTATATTTTAATACAAAATGCCCCCTCCATCTTAAGAGTATTAACAAGATCAAAATGCCCCCTCCACCTTCTTATTCACTATTAAGAGTATTAACAAGATCAAATTTTATTTACTTTGCTTACCTATTTAAATTATATATTTGATAAAATAATATAATTATATCATTACTAGTTTTATAGATCTTATAATGTAGTTTTTAGATACTCCCTCCGTCCCCCTGTATTTGTCCACTTTCATTTTTACACACCATCCAATGCACTTCTTTAATCTATTTTATCTTTTAATTTGTATATTAAAAAATTATAAAAATTATATATTAATAATCTATATGTTAAGACAAATCAAACAAGATCACACATGACTATATTTAGGCTTACACATTGAGAGAATTTGATGAGTCAAAGTGCTTAGATGAACAGTTCCAAAAGTCAAATATGGACAAATACAGGGGGACGGAGGGAGTATATAATTTTATTTTTTGATTTCACACCACTTTTATGAAACATCGTAACACGTAAAAAGAAGATATTTTTTAGAGTACTAGAGTCTTTATTTGGTTTTGAGAGTATTATTGTAAAATTTTGAATTTCAGGGAGTATTTATATAATTTTTTCCTCTTATTAAAAGAAAAAAACAACTAAGATGTCAACTAAGCATAATTACTTACATGTAAGCGTAAGAAAAGTTGATTAGGCATAATGGGAGTAGTAATGTAAACTAATAGTTTAATTGGGAGGACGAGAATCTTTTATTAAATTTGGGAATATTGTTGTAAAATTTCGAATTTCTGGGAGTATTTATATCAATTTTTCCATTTTATAAAAAAAACTTCCGTATGACCTTAGGCTCCATTGCTCTCTTTCGTTCCTCTCAAATCCGGGCTTCAAACGTAGGGATAAGATTTTGTTTTAAATTTTTAATTAAACCATACTCCGTATAATTTATTATGGATTTGTTTTGTGTAATTAAAGTGTGATTTTGGAAAAGAAATTGGATGTTGTATAACTATTCATATTGTCATTATATAGAATATTTTTATTTGAAATTATAGTAACGGATAAATTTGTTACTCCATGATAATCCCAATACTGTTATTTCGAAAAAAAATTAAATTTTGTATAAGTTAGTCCGTATAATGTTATTTTATTGTTATATTTTGACTTACTCAAATGTTTATTTGAGATACTCCGTATAATTTATTATTTTGTCTTTTTATAATGTTTTTAAACAAATCCTTGCGCTTCACTCCGACCCAATCTGCCCCCCCGATAAGCACCTCCTGGCTGCCACTGCTTAAACCCTATACTTGAGTGGGATACACTCAGTTTGGGCAGGAATAAGGGTCATCCCCCTGACATAGAGAGTGAAACAAAAGATGCATTCCACAACACATTCAAACACTCATTCATCCATTCATCATGACCAACAAAACCAGTGAAGCAAAATTTACATGGAATTGAACCAACTCTACAAGGCTAATGAAACTACACAGTCAATGAATGAAAATCAAACATTAAAAAAACAGCTACATGAATCACACATGCTCTTAGAATGACAAACTATATCTAAGAAAAGATGAGTTTTGGCACATGAGATGACAGTGAGAAAAAGAAGAAAAAAAAGAGGAAGAGTCAGCAGTCAATTAACCTTGACACCCCTGTCTTTGTAAAGCATGAGCCATTCTTGTATCACGGCTGTTTGTAGAGCACGGTGTTCCACCTCCTCGGCTGTCAATTTGAACAAAGTTGTTGGCCCCTTAGGTTTACCGTCTTTGTCCACATCACCATCGTCATCATCAATATCCTTGTCATCCTCATCTTCTTCATCCTCGGCGGATTTTCTAGGTCTTGCTGCTTTGAGCAAAGTGATCCGTTCCATTGAGATCTTCAACTTATCAGCAGCAGCCATCTTCACTTCGTCTTCGGGCATGTACTCAACACCACCGTCGGTCAGATCATCTAACCAGCCCTGTGGGTCTGAATCGATCTCCTTGGTAATAGAAGCATCTGATGCCCTGATCACAAATTTGCACATCATGGTCGTTGTTTCGTCGCCAAGGTCGACATTTCTGCTCACCTCACTCGCACCAAATACCATCATACCCACAAAGCCTCCATACCATGTTTTGGCAGCAAAACAGAGCTATACAAATCCAGAAAGAAGAATAAACAAGAAAACACATAAGCTTCATGAGCACTGTCACTGATTCTCTTCTTTTATCTATATATTACGAAAAAAGGCCACATACAGGGTAAGATACTCCCTTATAATTACAAAGAAAAAAAAAGGTCATCAACAGTTTGAAACAAGAAAAAACAAATGTACAAAACAGATGTAGGCCAAGCATGGCAACTATGTAAGCAAAAACTAGGTCAAGACTTGTTAACAGATAGGATTGCATCGGAATGATTTGGATGTATACAGTATTTGGCCTAATTTTAAAACCAGCTATTAAAATCCATCAATTGCAACCAGCTAGAACATGTTGGTCTGAAGGCTCGTGATGACTACTTATTGATATAAAAAAACATACAATCATTCAGCACTTATTAGAAGATTAACTTGTTTAAAAAATAAATAGAAGATTAACCTGAAACCCAGCAACTGTTCGAATGATGTGCGAGCAAACTCGATGGAATGGTTTGGAAGACAAAGATTTTAAGCCACTTAAGAAAGGAGATGCTCCATATTGCTGGGCAGCAGTTGCCTTGAATCCACTCCCTTCATATGTATAAGCACCAGTATACTCCACTATAGCAGGTAAACTTGGCCACAAGCGGAAATACTCAACAGGTGAAATTTTATGCGGCAAAAGAAACTCAGTTAGGGGAATCTTGTATGGTTGGCACCTCAGAATCACGGGTTCTCCTAATTCCTTCAGGCTTCTCTTTTGCTTAATGATCTGTGGATCCTCTCCAGAATATTCCCCTTCATAATCTGCAGGAACATCAGTACCATAGAAGGGGTAGTATAGGACTTGAACCCAAAGATCACATTTCTTGAAATGGGAAACACCCACTGTTACGCTACACAGGACTGGTTCCTATAAACATGCACATCATGCCATCAAGTTAGTTTTAAGATCATCAATGTCTTCGAAAATTAATTGTTTAATCCTTCTGTTCACATTCATTAGATCTTACAGTTAAGTGAACAAAAATCTAGATTAGCTCAGAAATGAAGATGGGGCAGAGGGCTTACTATAGTAAAAGTACACAATTTGGGCAGTTTCATAGGCCAAGAAAGTACACTAACCACAATAAGATAAAATAAGAAAGATTTTATTTAAAAAGCAAGCAGCATTTTTCATTTGTGAATTGTGATATAGTATGATGTTTCCAAAACTCAAAATATCAATTACAGAGGTAATTGCATGAAATCAATACATGAAGGGACTGTAAAATAAAAATCTAACCTGAGAATTAAGGTCGCGCAACTGTCGGACCACTTGAGGAGATCCATCCATGAAATATAATCCACCCGATAGCCCAACACGTAAGTCAACTCGATTGAGTTCAACCTCTGTTAAATTCAGAACCTGCAGTATACTCATTGTAAGTGCGCTGAGATTCTTCTAAAACCACTTAAAATACATAACTACCCTAAAAAATTAAGGGACAATCATCAGAACTTTAAGGAAGAGAACCGGTTCATAAAAACAGTCATGCTTGAATTAATCCCAGCCAGAAAGCACACAGGCGTAGTGATAGGCTTATGGCACATGTACTCAAATTACATCTCCAGTAATATTTTAACAGCTACAAATGAATGCTGATCCTTCTTTTCCGATGGAGCCAAAATTTCACCATTTTTTGGCTAACCCCACACTACCTTATTTAGTTTTACCTAGAGATTTGACAGACGCGAAGAAATTAATTACTTCATCGTCAATCAGTTCGTTACGTTGAAAGCTGCAACTCGGCCCCCAGAGAAACCTTTGTCGGAGAGATGAAAGCTCATCCCCGTTCCAGACGCATGTGTGTCCCTCCCCAGACCCTACTCTTGTGGGATTTAACTAGGTTGTTGTTGTTGTAAATGAATGCGCTTCTTTAATTAATGAAGTAGCAGTTAGTCAAGCAATGCAACTTTCGACGTTGAGCCGGGGGTCTCTTTGGAAACAGCCTCTCTACTTTCGAGTAGGGGGAAGGTCTGCGTACACACACCCTCCCCAGACCCTACTCTTGTGGGATTTAACTGGGTTGTTGTTGTTGTTGTAAATGAATGCTGAAAAATAAACATAAAAAGAGGCAAGCAAACACAAGTGCATAAAAACAAGATGTCTGTACGCAACAACAACAGAGCACACACATGGAAGAAACTTGATTTGCTAGTTCTTCACCCCCCATGTAATAGGCAGTTAGATGGAGCCTACCCACAGATCCAAACAACAACACAAACACTCACATTACATATCAGAAACAATAACAACCCATAATAATTCCAACTCCGTTTGGATGTTGGACACACACACATAATATTAACAAAAAAACACAAAAAAAGAAAGAAAAGGATAAAAAATAATGTTACCCAGAATATTCTTTTCATTTTTCAAGAAAACAAGTAAATTATGGACATCTTGTGTCATGTAAATAATCTACATATTAAACATGGCCTGCACTGACAGCAAAACCATGCCCAGTAACATTATGATCCTCTCAGGGTGATTGATCATCAAACTATATTCATGAAGAACACTAAGGAATAGGCAGTAACCTTTAGATGCAGAGTGATCCTTCCATCGCTTGGATCAGTCAAATGATATGCTTCAACATAGCAAGGATCACTGCTTCCAGTCAAAGTATGCGTGCTTGGAGGAACTTTGAGTAGGCTAGAATCGATTCCTTTAGATAACAGCATAGCCAAATCGTTAGGTTCAGGCCTCCAAAGTTCCAAAATAGCATTGTGAACTAATCCTTCCAGCTTTCTATCCTGTGCTGCTGATGCATCATGAAACTGAACAGTCAGTTTATGGTGACTAAATGGATAATCTCCTCTTGCTTCACCCACTCCAGCCCATCTGAAAGAAACAAAAAAAACTAAAAATTTATTAAGTTACAAAATAATACTTATGTCGCAGTTTTACTTTTCAAAACAAATTTCATTAAGTTTGACCTTAAATTCACAATTAATTGTACTCCCTACATCCCTCTATTTTTTAGAGCATGGGGCAGTGGCACACAAATTAAGACAAGTGGAACTATGTTGTTGATATTGATGCCGAGAACTAAGAAAAAGTAAGAATGAATATGAGCCACCAAAATCTTACCAAAAAAGGTAAAAAGTGAAAAATATAGTGGGATAGATGGGAGTATTATTTCATACTCCCTCCGTTAAAAAAAAGGTTCCCGTTTTTGTCTAAAAAGTTTTACGAAAGTCATTTTTCAAAACAATATATTTGAATATTGTATTAGAATTCCAATATAAAATGCTATCAAAAGCTCTACAAAACAAGTGGTGGCTGGAGTATTTTATTTTATAAAACGATCCATCAAAATGTATAAGAAAAGAAGATATAATTTGACCATGTAAATTGTGAACGGGAACCTTATAGAAGTACTTTTTAGCATATTGCGTAAAAACATATTTTTAAATGTCATGTTTTCCTTATTTAAATGCGCCAGAATAAATGTCACTTTCCATTCAAGAAAGAAATGAGTGGTTCAAATTGTTTCCCTATCCTCTTTGTGAACTTACACCATACAATTTCAAATGGTCTTCCACTCCGTGAAAGACAAACCAAGACGTTTATTTCGGGACTGAGGAAGTACTCTTTAGTAGAATACAAAAGATAAAAACTGTGGTCAAAGATGAACATTGGAGACCATGTAGAAGAAATTGTGAAGTTCATTATGTGTCTCATAGATATATGCAATAGAAGTTAGAACTAAATGATTGTGTTAACAATAGCTGCTAAATGGGTCCTGCTTTCCCAATTAACTGTTATGCCTTCAAAAAAATGAAATTTTTCATCGCAGTTAAGTTAAATATGCAGGGTAAGGTCTGCTTCCCCCCCCCCCCCCCAAGGCCCTACACCCGTGGAACTCATTAGACATTCTTACTTCTAAATGATCCATTACACATCTGTTTCCCTCAGTTGTTCCAAACCAATAATATAGCTGCAATATCTTAAAATAGGAGATAGTGAAGACATGATTGCAACATTCAAAGTATTTGTAGAGAAATTTTGTTTTTAGGAATGTGGCTGGTGGAAGTTTCCAGGCTGAAGCTTATGCAGGGATTTGGTAGTTCCTACATCCATTTAGATTTCTCATTATTGTGCTTGTAGTGGGTTGCACACTTGCCCCTTGCATGCACTTGCACACCCCAGGTGCTTTCGAATAAAGTTTCTTATCAAAAATATATACGATGATATAAACATGATTTACCAAATGCAAAACAAGAGCTGATGTAGTTCATGTTATTGTGGATACCTGTTCAGCATTAAGACCTTGATTGGTATTAAACAAATTGTTCAGGCTGTAAAGAAATGCCCTAAAAATTATATAACTACATAGTAAAGCAATGAGCTAACTTTTATTTGTTAGAACGAAATGGATTCGAACTATGTCCATCTACAAGGGACAGAGGAAGGAAGATATGATATGCTTACCTGCTTTCGGGATGGATGGTAACATATTTTATTCTCTGCAATATTAATCGACATTGATGCTTATTTACAGAATCAGCTAATGCATTGCTCCTGAACTCTTCAAGTTCTTTGGTTAGCAACTGCCCAGCCCTGGCATTACGTGACCCCAATCTCTGAGCACACAACAGAACTGCTTGGAGATCTTGAAGTCGATTCGTTGTGCTTGCAGATGAATCTATGTTGAACAGAACTTTGTGTATATTTGAAATTATTATATTCAGAGGGTCTTCAGGATCATCAGCCAGTAGTGGGTCTAATCCCTCAAGATCTATGTGTTCTGAAATAGCAAAGAGCAAACGGGCACATATTCTAGGTGTGTTTACCTGTCAAATCCAACAAACTTTTGAATACAATATTATAGAAATATATTTCCAAATCATGCAGTTTCTGAATCATTTGGGCTAGGTGTTGGTTTCTGCACGTGTTGTTGTGTGCTTTGTATGCTTTGTTTGCTTTGTGGTGTACTACTGTGCTTTGTTTGCTTGTATGCTCAGTGCTTTCTCTGCTTTTATGTGTCTTCTGTGCTCTTATATGATCAGTGCTACTCGAGCTGGGGTCTCTTGGAAACAGCCTCCCTACTTTGAAGTAGGGGCAAGGTCTACATACACACACCCTCTAGGCCTCTACAGACCCTACTGTCGTGGGATCCTACTGGGTTGTTGTTGTTTTTGTTGTGCATATTCTAAATCATTTGGGAAATTGGGACATATGAATGTACAGGAGATAGAATAATATGGCACAAATATGTAATTTATAAATATTTTGGAATTGAACATTTCAAATCATAAACATGTAACAAACTATACAGACCTCATGTAGGTCTCTAACAAGCTCACGTTGCAAGTTTTGTAATCGTGTTTCATTCAAGATTTGGTCTTGAGATGCCCCATCTTTCACTCTTTTAATGCCGCCTCTAGTATCATAAATATGACAGAGTCTAACCAGCAACTTTAAATAGCAATCAATAGCATAGGTCCGGCCCTCACAATCCCATTTAACACATGGCCTGCATACTTCAACTACTTCTAGAGCTGGTTCTGTCCAATTGAATGCACCATAACCGGTTCCATAAGCTAGAGCTCCTATAACTCTGCTCTCTGTACCAGAATTCTTTTGCTCTGGTAACGGTAGTGACAACTGAAAGCAGCTTTCTACAAGCATGGCAACTAGTTCTTCTCTAAACAAGCTTGTCCTTGTTACACTGTTGAGGTCATCTTTTATTCTTCCATCTTCAAAAAGGGAAGCTATATCAGTTCCAGGGAGAGGTTTTTGACCCCTCCGTACACTTTCTTTAGCAAAAAGATCAACACAGAGAGCAGTTCGACAGATGCATGCTAATGCATGCATACGATCCGATTCTGCTCTCAGGTTTCTCACCATAAGAAGTAACCTTTTAAATAATGAAACCTGCAAAAGGCCATTCTTGTCATTAGCTAATACTCATAACCAACAGGCAAACTGGACATCAATAAGCAATTTCACGTGTACTATCATCTTTTAGTTGACAGTCTAGTTAACAGGGAAAAAATACACTTGGCAAATGGGAATTTTAATCACAACCAAGGTAATTGGAAGAAAAAGTTTACATACAAGTTAATCACACTACAGATACAACAGAAAAAATACCGCTCTGTTTTTAAACCTAACCCGGAGGGAGAAGAAAACAATTCTGAGAAACATGGAAGATGATGACATGAATTTGCAGTTTTTCAGTATACTAAATCCAGCAAATAAAATATTGCAAGTATGTATGGTATGAAGTACAGGGAAACACAATATGCATGCCAAAAATGAAACTAAATTTACAGTGGTGCACATAGTGAGAAGGAGCCTCTCTAGTTTCAACACGTTATTATTAAGGTCACGAGTAACCCCATTAACGTTGAACTCCAGTTCTAACTGACTCTAAGATTATAAATTAAACATTGTTAGTCTAGTCTTCTATTGCTATTGACGTAAGAAAATTATTCAGTGCAAAGACATGATGGCACTTAAAAACTCGCGCACATATGACACAACTTTTAATTGCATTCAATAAAGATAACTCAACAGATACTAGACTCACATACCTGCATACTGAGGTCAAGGAGATGCAAATTAGTAACCACAGCTCTGACAATGCTCTCACGTGCAGAGGAAAACTCCTGCCTGTCCCAAAGCGTGAGAATTGCAATGATGGATGTTGATGCCCACTCAGGTTTCCCTCCAGGAACATCAGCCAAGTAGAGCATGTTGATCCCCACCTCAAATATCAACGCTGGATCTAGTGATGAGACCAAGAAAGGAGCCAAGTGAGATGCCACATCTGATACTCCAACAAACTTTTCTGCATTTCCAGAGTCCATTGTGGGGATACTCCCGTTCTTTGAAGATCTTGAAAGCATTTTTATTACATCTACAGAGCCTGAAGCCATAGACTTTACTGCATATACTAAAGGATAAATGGTTGCCCGAAAACTCTCAATTGGGAGGATCAATGACCTAGCCATTACTGCATTCCTGTTCTTCCACACAAAATCCACCATTGAAGAAACCCAATTGGACCGAATGGCAACTGAATTTTCGCTGTCCACAAGCTTATCACCTGCCAACCGGCTCATCCGTTTCGATTCAAACTCCTGAAACAGCCTCCCTACAGACTCAAACGCCACCTTTGACACGGTATCTGAGTTGTCAAGCATGTTCTGCCCAATCCTTGCCCACCAATTTGAAACCCTATCGAGCAAGTTAATGTTGTTCTCGCATAGAGTCACGAGATCATCCCGCGCAAGGATACAACCAAGTGTCTCAGCGATGGAGAATCGGAGGTTTTCAGAGGACGAGTGGAAGCAGCTGGAGATTTGCTTGTTGCAGTCCGATATGAGTTTACCCAGCCGGAAGTAAGGGATAGCCGCGAGAATAGAGACGGCGGCAGCGGTTACATCCGGGTCAGGGAACTCGAGGTCGTTACGAATTCCTGTACATACAGTTTCCCATAAGTCGGCGGTTAGTCGAGTCGATCTGATCAGGTCGAAAGCTAGTTTTTTCGAAATGGCAGAGGCAGGAGCGGCCACGATCTCCTCGACTGCGGATTTTGCAATGATGGAGATATCACGGCCCGCCGCCGATTGCTGGAGGGCTTGAAGGAGAGCTCCGGATTGCCGGAGGGCATCATTTGACCTGAGATCCGCTTGGATCTGCGCGAATAGTATGTCCATTTAACCGCCGGAAAGCGCAACTGGTGGCGAGACTCCGGCTACCAAGTGCTTCAGGTGGTATCTCAGACTTCCCAGTTCCGACTCCTAACTATACAATAAGAAGTCCTCGTCAGTCCCAAGAATTAAGTTCAATTACTCCATAATGAAAGTTTCCACCTTCATTTTTTAAAGGAATGCTAGGGGTACACCTTACACCATTTGGTGTATTCCATTTGTACACCAACAATCATAGCCATAAATTTCTTTTTATATTTTTATTTTTTTTTCTTTTCTTGCTTTTGTGTGGTGGAGATGGAGGGGTACAAAAATTGGTGTACCCCTAGCATTTTTCATTTTTAACATGACAATTAATATTCTTATTTCCATTTTAGACAATAAAATTAATGAAAAAAGTCTTTTATATACCTCTCTCACTTCCCCCACCTCACATACCCCACTACATATACCCACACTATCATCCTAATTAATTCAACCCCTAGATTTACCTCACTCACTCCGTTGTTATATCTTCTTTGTCTCTTCCCTCATCTCACATCCACTCGCTTCGTTTTCCTCACCCATCTCATTCATCGTCTCTTAAATCCAAATCTAGGACCTCTTCTTCTTCCCAATCGCCTACTCCATGAAATAGATCTAGAGTTTCTCTCCCCTAAGTTGCTCTATCTTATACCCCAATAAGTATGTAACCTGAAAGTTATCCTTACGTTTTCATAGTGTCAGAGACTCCAAATGTCTTCGCCAGTCAAGAGGAGTTCGAGGATGCCGAGATATATATATTTGGTGTAGGAGAATAGGAGATTGAGCAACTTCCCCCCAAATATTCGTGGCGATGAAGGTGAGATGGTGGCAGTAGTGGTGCCTGATTCTGAGGAAGAGGATGATGCTTTGATGGCCCCAAGCTCTGGCTTCGTGTGAATTAGAAAGCATGTAGGGTTCTACTTCCTCTAGGGTCAAGTAGTACTTTTGGGATGTCTTTGTAAAAAAATCATTTTTCATCAATGTGTAAAATATTTTTTTAAAACTCTTGAAAGTTAGGTTTGATGGAACACTAGATGGCTCTACTTGGTCCAAACAAAGTTTCTTATTTGCCTCATTAAGTAAGGGCTTAATTGCATTACTATGACTTTGAAGAATACCTCTTTTCACTCAGTTATGGCCTGTAGACTTGCATGCACCTCCTGCAGAGGCTAGTGACCTGATTGTGGTTCTCCTTCGCAGTGTGATGTCTTCAATTGCATCCAAGTCTGCTGCAAGTCTTTTCCTCCCAACCCTTCCTACCATATTGTTCCTTACATCAATGCAGTGTCCAGCGTGTAGTTATGTCTTAGCTTTTGACCACGATTTCGAAACAATTCCTTGACTAACTCTGAACTCGAAAAACAGCTTCAGTCACATCACCTCTCTGAGCAGTTTCTATTCCCATGAAATTTATTTGAGCATGTAGCAACAAGTAGTCTATGATTCCCTGTCTTTCTAAGTTTGTATGCTTTTTCACCTAACAAACTCAACGAAACATGCACTCTGCACCACCAATCTTCTTTGATGATTATTAGGATACCATTGGTCATAGTTTTTTTTACAATTACACTAAAATATATAACATTTTCTAGTGTAAATCTTAGTGAGGAAGGTAAAAAATTTCTCATGCCAGGTTTGATAATTTTCTTTGTAGGCTTGAACCGAATCGGTCACCAAACAATTCAAAAAATGTCGCCCATCCACATTTAGATGAAGAGACATATGCAAGGTATATTTATGCTACTAATCACAAAATCTGCAAATTTTGTCTTAAATATTCTTTAAACTGATATCCTTTATATAAACAGATCAAATAAAATCTAATTTCAATTTAATAACCAAATAATTAAGTTTAATCCCATTTTTTATTTCTATCCAACCTCCTGGACAAAAACAGAAAAGAATTGCTCCATTTGTTAAGGCAAATATTCTTTCTGAACATAAAAAATTGTGATCATATGCAGTAATATTACAACTCACCTCAATGGAAGGAATGAACAAAGGGTAATTTACCTAAATAAAACTAAAACATAATGACTTTCTCAATATAGGACCATATGTTTTTTTATTTCCCAATGTAGGATCATTGATCATTATCTATTAGTCATTATTCAACTAAATGTCCAACATCACTTGAACATTATTCTTCTTCCTAGACATTATTAAGTCCTTGATGGGCCGATATCCAGCGGGTGGCCCAAACATCTGACCCAGTAGGCGCCGGGTCAAGCTTGCGGTGAGGGCTTGAATCTGGGCCGGCCCAAGATGCTGGGCCCGAACCATCCTAATTCAAAAGACAGCTGGCAGAGCCAATTTAAAGGAGAAGACTCAGCTAGAGAACGGGGACGAAGCTGGAAAAAGGGGATTGTGCCATCGGCGGAGTAGAATCCCTTTGATTATGAATTACCTTAATTATCTAAAATCCATGTATGAATAGAGGGGACCCGAAGGGGGGATCCTCAAGCTGAATCAAGCTAATAATACATACACAATTCTCGAGTTCTTGTTCTTATTTTTATTTCTCGTGATCCATTCTTCTGAATCGGATCATTTCGGTGGATTTATTGTCCATCAAATTGGTGCTTTCATTGAGAGCTCGAGGATCATACTCAAGAAAAACCTTCCAAGAAAACAATGATGCAAACCCGTAGCAACGCAAACGTAGGTACCGGAATCCCTCTCCAGGGTGAGAATAGCGCCACTAGAGGCCGACACCCTCCCATTAGCGTGACTGAGGCGGAGGCTCTCATCTAGAGGGTCGGGATCACCGCAGAGCAGTTCAAAGAAGTGATGGCGGCCTTGACCCCGAACCGCGAGGTTGTGTGGAGATTGCGATCGGAGAACCCGCCGGAGGGAAGGCTGGACCCGCAGGCTCGGGGGAAAACAGAAGAAGAAGGTAAGGCGGTCCCAGAAGAAGAAGGCGACCAAGGCTGCTAGAGACTCCTCGATCACCACCTTCTTAATCTCGACGGCCCCCTGGCCGTAAAGTTTCCGGGTGATGGATAGCAGGGTGGCGTTGGATCGGGGACACGGAACGCGACGGAAGGATGGGAGCCCTGACCCGTGAAAGGAGATTTGGGCCCCGTCGAGACAAAGACAAAAAAGGGCTTCCAGTCCTTGGTCGACCCCTTCTTATCGCTAGTGAAGAGTTTGCTGGATCGCTGGGCAAGGCTGGCATAGGACGCCAGTCCCCATGACCTTTGGCCAGTTTGAAGGTAAAAAGGAGATGGTTAAGGGTGGGCTTCACCCCCACTTCCTTGCATTTGATCAGGTAACCGGCGATATACCAGTAAGAATTGGGGACCAGTTGGCAAGGGAGGAGGTCCACCTCGTTGAGGAACTCATTCAACAATGGATGAAGAGGGAATCGCAGCCCCTTCTTCAGAGAGGCTAGATGGATGGTAAAGAACCCTGAAGGAGCATCCACAGCGGTTTGGGTTCTAGTGGGCCGTAGGACTTCAATTGAAGGCCTGACCATGTCAGTGCCGTAGGCGAACCCACGGTCAATAATTTTACAATGGCTCAACGCCATGATGTTCTCATCCAGTTTGGCCCTCTTGCCCTTCAGCGTCGCGGTCGAGGGGGGAATTGCTTCCTCATCCGGCGTAGCTTTTGGCCAGGCACGGCCGCCGACGATGGCTGAAGAGAATTGGTCTGACCTTGGTCATGGCCAGAGGCCGAGTGACCATTTTGGCGAGAATTGGACGATGGAGAAGCCGAATCAGAATCAGAGACAATCATGGTGATAGAAGGGGGAACTGACCTAAATTTACAAGGAAAACGGGTCGGGTAACGGCGGAAGAGCAAGTGAAGGAGCGAATGAAGCATGTACGGAAGAATGGCGTCTAGCGGCGGTTTTTATCAGAAGGTTGGAAGGCGAAACAGCAGACCATGATTGCTTTTAGTGGAGATCGTGCCAAACGTCACGCGGAACCCAAGGAACGGCTCGGATCCGTTGATGGGGGCGCCCACGTGGACTTCGTAAACTCCTCATCCCTCAACGTGGCCCTTCTGAAGAACGAGGAGTTGGGGGGCTTGTGATGGGCCGATATCCAGCGGGTGGCCCAAACATCTGACCCAGTAGGCGCCGGGTCAAGCTTGCGGTGAGGGCTTGAATCTGGGCCGGCCCAAGATGTTGGGCCCGAACCATCCTAATTCAAAAGACAGCTGGCAGAGCCTATTTAAAGGAGAAGACTCAGCTAGAGAACGGGGACAAAGCTGGAAAAAGGGGATCGTGCCATCGGCGGAGTAGAATCTCTTTGATTATGAATTACCTTAATTATCTAAAATCCATGTATAAATAGAGGGGACCCGAAGGGGGGGATCCTCAAGCTGAATCAAGCTAATAATACATACACAATTCTCGAGTTCTTGTTCTTATTTTTATTTCTCGTGATCCATTCTTCTGAATCGGACCATTTCGGTGGATTTATTGTCCATCAAATTGGTGCTTTCATTGAGAGCTCGAGGATCATACTCAAGAAAAACCTTCCAAGAAAACAATGGTGCAAACCCGTAGCAACGCAAACGTAGGTACCGGAATCCCTCTCCAGGGTGAGAATAGCGCCACTAGAGGCCGGCACCCTCCCATTAGCGTGACTGAGGCGGAGGCTCTCATCTAGACGGTCGGGATCACCGCAGAGCAGTTCAAAGAAGTGATGGCGGCCTTGACCCCGAACCGCGAGGTTGTGTGGAGGTTGCGATCGGAGAACCCGCCGGAGGGAAGGCTGGATCCGCGGGCTCGGGGGAAAAAGAAGAAGAAGGCTGGACCCGCGGGCTCGTGGGTTTCTGAAGGGTTACACAATAGACCCATTGGTCTCTTGAACATTGACGGTTATTTCAATAACCTAATCAAATTTCTAGACGATGCGGTGAGGCAGAACTTCATGTTTTTGAGTCAGAGGAAACTTTTCATTTCTTCTTTCTTTGTTGATGAGCTTTTAGACAAACTAGAGTTTGCTAAGGCTTTCCCGGGTTCAGGGGTTAGTTACGATGAGTTTGTGAATTTCGGAAGACTAGACTTAGAATTGCATCTGTAACTTTCCTCTTGTAATCCAAGTTGTATCTTGTGTTGTAATGATATTATCCATAAATATTCTCCTAGGCTGTATGGCTAGTGCGAGCTACATTTTTTTTCATTCTTTAGTCTTTCACTGTTGGTGTTACTGTCTTGTTTTGTATCTTCACTACGTTGTGATCTTTCATGTCAATAGCGCATACAAATGAGTCCATTTTAAAGTAAGGAGTAGAGATTCTTGATCGTCATTTCAAATCTTAGTATCCTGACCGTAAGTCAATCTTAGAGAACACAATGGATCCTCTAAGCTGATCAAATAAGTCATGATACGAAGTAAAGGATAAGGATTTGTTTAATTGAAGATAGTTCATACAAAGTCTCGTCGATCCTTCTGTATTTGCATATGAACAAAATAGGTATTCAAAGAGAAAACACTTGATCAAATGATTCTTTATTAAGGAATCCTTGAGTTTTCAATCTCAACGGAGGTTTATTCAACATGGAATTACATAGATATTAGATAGTTCAAATCCCGGATCAGTACATGGATAATTTTATAAATTATCAATAAGAAAATGATGACACCAGAGTTTTCTTCAACGCGGTCTTTCACTGCATACGCACGTGCATGATTTTGTTTGTGGGTCATTTCCTGCTGGTGCAAGTCGGACTGGGGTAGACTGACTTTGAACAGGCCATTGGCATTGGTTTTCCAAGGGTTTGTATTTCAATTGAAAAAAACTAGACAAATTGAAAAAACTTGAAAAAATTTGAAGAAAGGGAGTTCGAAAATTTTGAAAGTATTGAAAAATAGGGAAAATTTGAAAAAAAAAACCAGAAACAGTTAAAAAGGTTTGAAAAAGTTGAATTGTTGAATAAATGTTATATTATGGAAATTTCATGTTTTTACTATGTGCTCGATTTATTACACATTTTTATCTCTTTATTTTTTTATGTCACACTATTTTTTATTTCAAACTATATTTAATACTTTGTAATATTCTTGAGACTTAAACTCATTTTATATTCATATAATAATATATATATATATATATAATATATAAATATATACCCATGTAATATTAAATGTTTAGTCATACATTCATTATTCATATAATCATATTATCATATATTACTATTTACTAATATATTATATTGTTAATTTGTTATAAATTAATATTATAATTTCGAAATTCAATATATGATTAATATTTTAAATATTTAATATTTTAATATAGTCCTTTTTTATCAAAATAAAAATATATTAAAATGTCAAAAGAATCCGGTAGAAGGTCCGTGGATATGGGCGTTGTGAACCGAAGTTCGAGGAAAGGCAAAGCTAAAGCCACCTCCAATGGTTCGAGCTCCGTGTCTTCCTTCCCTACTATCTCTAATTAATTCGTGGGCGACGCTTTAACGGATCAAAAATTCAAACAGTATTTGGGAGGTAGAACTGGCGCCAATCTTCCAACTCTTGAAAATATATTCGAGGACATTGATGAAGCAGAAATGGACGTGGAGCGTACACCGGAGAGCAACAATCCTACCGATGCTGACGAGGAGGCAGGTGAGCCCGAGACCTCTCAAGGTCCGGGGAAAGGTAAAAAAATTAAAATCTGATTTATTTGTTTATCATTTTTCAAAAGAAACAAAAAATGGCGAAGTTTTTGGAACTTGTAATTATTGTGGCACCATCATTAAAATGAGAATTTCTGGCGGTTATGGTGGTCTGGAAAAACACCTAAGGGCGAGGCACCCCGTGGTGTATGCCAAATACGCGGCGAAAAAGAAGGGACGACAAAAAGTGCAAACCCAAATTTCTTGGTTTGCTAACAAGGGTAAGGGCGGCCTTTTTGCTTATAGCGACGAGCAAAATAAGCAAAAAATGGTCGCAATGATTTGTGAAGAAAATTTGCCATAAATATTTTCTGAAAAACTTGCATTTATTGATTATTGTCAAAATGCATTAAACCCTCAAGCAAGAGGTTTTTCAAGAAAAACAATTAAGCGAGAAATTATTCCACAATATAAAGTTGAAAAAATGAATTTGGAAATTTTTTTTCTCAATTTTAATTTTTGTGTTACTATTTGTTTTGATATTGGTGTGAAACATATCATAATTTATCTTATATGGGTGTTACTTGTCATTGGATAGATAGTGATTGGATTATGCATAAACATGTTCTTGCATTTCGTGATTTCAATGAATCTCATACCGTTGAAAATATTTTTCTATTGCTTGACAATATTCTGCAAGAATATAATTTAGTTAATAAAGTGTTTGCATTTGGTTTTGATAATGCTACTAATAATATTGTTGATATTCCTAGACTTAAAGAAATGTGTCTCCGTACTACGAGTATGGGTATATTTCTGCAACAAAGGTGTGCTTGTCATGTATTAAATTTATGTGTTCAACAGGGATTAGAAGCTATGGGGGGTTGACAAATATTAGAAATGGAATTAAAAAGATTTAGGGTAGTCGTATTCATACGAAAGCCTGAAAGTCATACTGTAAATCTAGGGATAGAAGACCAATAACATTTGCTAAAGATATCACCATTAGATGGAATAGTACATACAAGTTGATAACACAGATTTTAAGCTACAAACAAGAACTTGCTGCATTTCTTAGGAATGAACTTAGTTTTATGATTTCATTGAATGAATTTGTTACTGTTGAAAAATTAAATGCCGTATTAGAAGTTTTTAATAATGCAACTCTTACTTTCTCGCGTGTTTACCAACCAACTACAAATAGATTTTTTAAAGAGTGTGTTACAATTGCAACATGTTTTAGTGAAAGTTTAGCTGATCCACAGCCGTACCCCTATGTCTCTTCTACGAGGGATAACTGTTGTGCTTATTATTTATACATTCTTGATATTTATAAATTTGGTATTTTTTGCGACGTCTTTGAACCATCACCGGACGCCAGTAGACATATCTATAAAAATGAAAGGGGAGAAAGGAGGGGGAAGAAGACTAAAGATAGATAGATAAATTAGATGCAGAAGAAAGAAGGTGGAGAAGGAGGAAGAGTAGGAAAAAAAAGAGCAAAAATAAAAAAGGAGAAAAATGATGAGATAAAAGATGGAGGAAAAAAAATGCACAGATCTACGCTAGTGGAGTAGAAGAAGAAAGAAGGGAAATGAGAAGAAGAAAGAGGAAAAAAAGAAATAAAAAAGAAAGAAGAAGAAAAAAGAGAAGAAACTGAGGAGATTTGGATGGAGAAACCCAGAAAGAAAGGACATTGCAAAAAAACTGATAAAAGAAGAAAGAAGGAAAAACAAAAAGAAAAAGTAATTTATAGATAATAGACAATCAGAGAGAATCCTATAAAATCTTTTAGCTTAGTATTTTAGTACATATTTGTTTTATTGTATACTGGGCTTTGTATATTTTGGGCCAGTTTATTAGCCTAACTAATCTTGTATATAAACCCCCGGATTATCAATGGAAAAGCAAGTTTCACGTCCAATAGTTTTCAACATGGTATCGGAGCATTGATCATCCGTCCGGTCAGTTTCTGGAAATACAGTTTGTTTGGATCGCCGTTCAATTCATCCGTCCAAAGGCCGTCCAAAATTGGGAAATCCGATTGCGGGTACTGTTCCTGTTCGTCGTCCAGATCGGTGTACTCACCACAACACACTTGTTTTAATTACTCCACGTCAAACGCCTTTACACCTCGTCATGCTCGCCCCTACACATGGCCTTACAGGGGTTCGGGGCACGCCCCTAGATTTTATTATGAACAATATGTGATGGTGTAAATTACTCGACCGGTCAAACTATACTAGACCGGGTCTAGAATAGTTTGTTCGATTTGGCAAAGTAAGAAAGGTAAAAACACGCAGATTGACCGGTAGGACTTTAGGTGGAACACCTGTAGCCCAACTTGTATTATAACGGAGAATGCACGGGTGCTTTTACAAGGGAGTTTAGAGAAAATGAATTCGGATCCCTCTTTCTGAGGTTTACACGAGTATTAATACTAGGCTATGGGGGACAAGACCACGTGCGCCCACGTGGGGGCACGATGCTGATGTGGTGCGAGGTGACTGGTTTCGTCTTTGAGCTGCCTTGTCGCCTTGTGAGGGGGATTATTCCCTTTGTCGAGTGGTGCCTTCGATGGATTCTTCAGCATCTCCAGTTGTCCTCTACTGACATGGGTCGCTACACGCCAAGCCCTCGTAGATTCTCCTCTGCCGACACTTTCCAACCCTAGAAACTACACCGGGTAATCTCCGTGGGATGAAATCATCGAAGTTTAGGGAAGAATAGGGGGACAAAGTAGTTTGGCCGGTATACTTTTTCCGTGAAGTATACCGGTCATATTTTGGCCGATGATATATCGTTTTACTCACGATTTAAGTCTCCCTTCAAAACTTTCGAGATTAACCGGTCAACTAATTGGTCTTCTCTTTTGACCGGTCGTGGGTGGAATACACCCATCAATAAGCCCTCCACTTCTCGGTCATGCAATTTATCATGAGCGGGAAGTAAAAAGTCTAAAACGGGACCTCAAATTTGAATTTCAGGCTTTTCCCACCCGAAAATCTCAAAATTTGAAATTTGAACTCAGAGTTTTTGACACGTGTTGGACACACGTCGTTGCAACGGTCGGCGGCTCACCCGTCGTTTCGCCTGCCAGTGAGTCATCATTGTGCCGCCTGACGCGGCGCAACCTGGAGAGGCCACATCGTCTGATTCGGCTTCCTCCCTTCTATATAAAGGCCTCCAACCCCCTTCACTTCTCACTTTTCGCACTTCGCCTCCTAGAGCTTTCACTGGTCAAATTCCTCTCTCTCGCTATCCAGCCCTCCGAGCCAAGTAAGTTTCCCCTTCCTTCTCTACTTTCCCGGTCATGTCTTCTCTTAGCGATAGGATCTCTTCCTCAGAGGACTGCTCCTCTGAGGACTCCAACTCCTCTTCTTCGACCGAGTCTTCTTCTCTTAACTCCACGCCCGGTCAGGTTCCCAACTCCTCCATTCCCGACCCGCATCCTGTAAATTAGATGCCTGGTGAAACTTTCGTGGGGAGGGATGACACGGTTGATGACGAACCAGGTCCCTACAACCCTGAACACGAAACCCGGGATGCGTGGGAGGAGCGGCTTCATGCTGCCGGTTACTTTCCGCTCCCCACCTTCTACGTCCTTGACATCCCTTCCCGTGCATCCAAAATCGCCTTGAACAAAATTCGCAGGAGGCTCCCGGATGGGTATACCCTCCTGTATGAGCCCAACTGGCCCAACATTGTCGAACCCCACCGGGAGGACAGGATAGGGTTCCACACCATATCCCTGGATGCGGGCATAGTTTTTCCCCTTCGCCCCCTCCTAACCGAAGTATGCCACGCGTTTAGGATTTTGCCCGGTCAAATAACACCTAACGCCCACCGGTATCTTCATTCCTTTGTAAATATTTGTACTCATCTGAAAATCTTCCCCTCTTTGCGTCTTTTCCTTTTTTGCTTCGAAGTCCTACCGGGCGGATCCGGCTGCGAAGGTTTTGTATTCTTCAAAGCCCGTACCGGTAGGAAGTTCATTTCCGAAGTCCCCCAGAGTAACCGGGGATGGAAGGAAAAATTTGTTTTCATCGATTTTCCCCCTTTTGTCACTCCTTTGGCCGGTCTGAACTGGAACGACCATCTGCTCGACCAAGAGTACACTGCACCAGCTTCCTCCCCAGACTTGGAAGCGAATCTTGAGGTCCTCATGCGCGGGGATCCTTTCACCGGGAGGACCTTCCATTATGGCAGCTGGGTTTGGAGGGTCGAATCGGGTGGCGAGGGCACCTCCCCGGCCCATGACGCAGCGGGGCACGGGGTCCCCTCCCCGGGCAACACTGCGGAGGCTGAGGGCAACTCCCACCCAGGTACTTTTCATTTTTCTCGTGATTCGTACTTGACCGGTCGAACTACTTGTACTTAATGGCTTTAGTTTGTTTTGCAGATATGGAGTTTGAAGAGTTCGCCATCCCCGACGACCAACCAGCGGGAGATATTGGGGGCTCCCAAGCCAACCCCGGCAGAACCTTCCCGGTCCACCAAGAGACCGTGGAGATTCTGGATGAGGACGAGCCCCAAGACAACTGGTCTAAGGGGAAGGACAAGGAAAAGCCCGGTCGTCGGATGAAGAAGGTGGCCACCACGCACCCTTCTTACGCCAAGAAGAGGGCAAGGTCGGATCCTGAGCCGGCCAGACCATTGAAGAGGCCTTCATTAATCTGGGCCTGAGGCTGAAGGAGGTAAGCCCTGTTGTTTCCCCGGTCTTGGCCTTCTTATTCCCTCGACGGGAATCTTACCGGCCTACTTTTCCTTTTGCGCAGGCGGGGGAGATCGGAACCCTCTCAGCTGACCGGCTTGGTCTGGGCTCTTCTTCGGAGTTTGCCCGGCTGAAAAAGGAGAAGGAGGAGATGGCTCTCATCCTCAAGAGCCAAGCTGATGAGCTGACCAGGCTATCCGGGCTGACCGGGTCGAGGAGGGCGGAGATCTCTCACCTCAAGGAAGAGAATGGCCGGCTGATGGATGAGGTGTTTGAAGCCAAGAGGGAGATGGCGGAGAAGGAAGAAACCTTCCCCGGGCGTGCAGCTGCCTGGGTGGAAGAGAACAAAGCTGAAGCTGCCCGGGTGATGACGGCGACTCCCGAGACCACGATGGAGTCCTTCAGGCTTCTATACCGGGAGCTTGAAGGAAGGAAGATGATTACCGCGATTGGATCCTTCGGATTCAAGAGCGGTCAAAAGAAGGACCGGATCGCCTCTCACCGGGTACTGCTCAGAAGAGATCCGGACTTCACCGCTGCATCCTACGGCTTGGCCTCTATCCCGGAAGAAGAGCTGACTCCCCCCTTCCCCCTTGACTAATCTCCCTGGCTTCGCCCGGTTATTTTTGTAAAACTTTTAGCACAAATTTCCCCGGGTATGCCCGGCGTACTTGTAAACATTTGACATTTCCAAATTAAAATGACATTGTTTAATTTAAATGCCATGTTTAATTTTCTTACTGGTGAATCTTCCATATCTTCCAAATTTAAATGCCATGTTTAATTTTCTTACCGGTAGCCCAACCAAACCACTTCTCAATTGTTTCTGACCGGGAGAACTTCAAAGTTCTCTTTGATCACTTTAACTGAAGGATTACCTCGAGTAACTTTGACTGGTCAAACTTCAGTTTTCGCTTTCTTGGCTCGTTTTTGCATACGCTAAGTCCAACCCGGTTGAACTAACGTGAACCGGCTAAATTTCACTTTGGCTTTTTGGATGGCTTCACGAATCCTTCGACAAAGTTTTATTTGACCGGTGAATTCCCACTCCATGGTTTGACCGGTCAACTGCCTTGCCTTTCGATGGATGTGGAACTTTCGAAGTTTTGTTGTGCTCATACCCGACCGGGGTATTTTTTTTTTTACCGGTAGGTTGTAGATGGAAACACCTGTAACCTAGTAATTCTTGAAGTATCCTTAACCGGTAAGAATACTGGAGATTTAACCATGTCGAATGGTTTCGAACCCTCTCCAAGGTTCAAATGCACCCTTCTTCCAGGGCCCCCCTCTTCCGGGTGATTAAGTCTTTTAATGGCCCTTTGATTTCTACCATCCCGGGAAGGCCTTAGCTCACCCTCCCGTTCAAGTCTTCCCTGAGAAGGGGGAAACAGGACGCGCCACGGTGGACGATCCCCTTCTATTTCTTTTAATGGGCATCTTTTAGTCCCAAATCAATTTGACGGCGCCGGCTTATTCCCCGACACCAGTCAAACCTCATGGGCCCGTGTAAGTACGGTTCGAACATTCTTCCAGGTCCAGCCCTCTTGCAGGCATACCCTCTTCCGGGCCCCTCTTCCGGGTTTTAATATTTTTTCTATTATACTGAGCAAGACCGGTGTAGTAATCAGCGTGCCAGGTCCGGGCCTGTGTCTCAGTTAGCTTATCCAAGTGGATTCGATCCACCCAGGAAGCCCTCCTAGGATAGGTTTGACCTATCAATTCTGCCGCTACCAAGTAGAATATTGAACGTCATCGGTTTGATTGATAATAAAATAGGCCTTGCCTAGTATTACAATCATTTGTAGAACTTGCGAAGATGATGGGAATTCCAGGTTCTTTCTACCGGTACACCTTCAAGAGTTTCTAACCGGTAGGTCCCCGGGCGAATGATAGCTCTCACCCGGTAAGGCCCTTCCCAGTTTTTGGCCAGCTTTCCTCCGTCTCCCGGTCTACTAGCCTCCCTTCTTCGCAGAACTTCATCGCCGACTTGAAAGTATCGCGGTCCAACCTTGTTGTCGTGGTACTTCTTCACGACTTGTTGATATGTGCTCATTTTAACTTCCGCGGCCATTCTCCGTTCTTCGACCAAGTTGAGTTCGGCCAAGTGGTCTTCTTCATTTTGTTGGGGTTCATAATTTGATTCCCGGAACGTTGGGAATTCAGCTTCGATGGGCAGCCTTGCTTCACACCCATAGGTTAGGGAGAATGGAGTTTCCCCGTGAGCCCTCCTGGGTGTTACTCGGAATGCCCATACGATGTGTGGGAGCTCTTCCAGCCACTTGTTTCCTGCTTCTCCCAGTCGTTTCTTTAGACCATCCACAATTGTTCGGTTGGCATTCTCGACTTGGCCATTCCTTTGGGGGTATGCTACCGAGGAGCGATTGTGCTTGATTCCGAAGCCCTCCAAGTATTCGGTGAACCTCGGATTTCGGAATTGTGGACCGTTGTCGGTGATGAGGTTCATGGGTGCTCCAAATCTCGTGATGATGTTCTTCCAAATGAATTTCTTGCATTGTTGCGTGGGAATGTTGGCCAACGCTTCGGCCTCGATCCATTTGGTGAAGTAATCGATGGCTACGATTACGAACTTCTTCCCTCCTTGGGCGATTGGAAAGGCTCCAATGATATCAACCCCGAATCTAGCGAATGGGATGACATTCGATACGGGGTGGTAGTAGGTCGCCGGTCTACCGGGATACTTGTAGAATACTTGGCACATCCTGCATTTCTGGACGTACCTTTCACAATCCTGTACAATTGTTGGCCAGTAATACCCCAACAAGATAATGCGTTGGGAAAGCGTACGAGACATTTGATGCGCCGCGCACACGCCTTCGTGGACTTCCGCTATGACTCGTTCAGCCTCCCTATTGGTTAGACATCTCAGGAGTGGCCCCCAAAATGCCCTTTTATACAGCTTTCCATCAAGAACCTGGAATCGGGGTGCCCTGAGCTTCACTTTTCTCGCCCGGTCATCTTGTTCTGGCAAGCTCCCATCCATCAGATATTCCATCAGATCATACATGCAATGGTCGTCCGCCCCGACCAGGTTTGACCGGTCAAATTGGCTTCCGGCCGTTATGGCGGCGACTTCCAATTTTTCGATGCTTGCACGGTCAAGGATCTCTACCCGGGCAAGTTTTGAAACATGCTCGGGAGCATACTGCGTCAACTTGGAGAGAAGGTCTGCATCCGCGTTTTCCGCCCGGGGAATTTGGGCGATCTTGAACTCTTCGAAGCCTTTCAACAGGGCAAGTACAAGGTCCTTGTATTGTGCCATGCGTCCTTCCCTTGCTTCCATGTTACTGGTCACTTGCCCAACGATTAGGCTAGAGTCAGATTTGATACTGACCCGGCTGATTTTCAGGGCTTGGGCAAGTCTGAGCCCTCCAGCCAGAGCTTCATATTCTGCCTCATTGTTCGTCAGTTTGAAGTTGAAGACGATTGCATGGTAGATCTTGAACCCTTCTGGGGTGGTGAACACGATACCACCCCCGTATCCTCTAGGACCGGATGCCCCATCAACTGCCATCTCCCACCATTGCTCAGTGGGCTTGTTGACCGGTAAGTCTGGAGTTAGACAGGTCATTTCTACTAGGAAGTCAGCAAGGGCCTGTCCCTTGATTGCCGACCTTGGCCGGTACTCAATGTGGAATTGAGTTAACATCATTGCCCACTTCACCATCCTCCCGGAGGATGTTGAATTTCGCAACACTGCACCCAGCGGTTGGTCAGTCAAGACTTCTACCGGGTGAGCTTGGAAGTAGGATGTCAACTTTTTTGCGGAGATGAAAAGCGCATAGGCTGTCTTCTCCATTGCCGTATATCTACTCTCAGCCCCGTTTAGTGCTTTGCTCACATAATAAATGGGCTTTTGCGCCCCATCATCTCTTATTAAAACGGAGCTTACAGCATTAGGGGAAATTCCCAGGTACACTATGTCTCAAAGTGGGCCAAGCCCAAATCTGTTATGTTATAGGCTGCGATCCATGAGAAAGTCGAGGAGCTTACGGGAGGCCGTAAGAAGCAGGGTACGCTTACACAACCGGAAGAAGTCTTGAAACTTCTTCCCGTCCCTAGAGAGTCGACTGGCCCTTTCCTTGGCCGACTCCCGGCCTAAACGACCGGTCAACTTCTGAACATCCCTAACGGAGGTAGGGGCTTGCATTTCAGTGATAGCCCGGATTTTTTCTGGGTTGGGCTCTATTCCTCTCTTGGTCACCATGAATCCCAAGAACTTCCCGGTACGAACCGCGAAGATGCATTTCTTAGGATTCAAACGGAGATACCTGGCTTTTGATCAGCATGTCGTCGACGTATGCCTCCATGGTCTTTCCCAGTAGTGGCTTGAAGAGTTTGTTCACCATGCGCTGGTAGGTTGCCCCCGAGTTCTTCAAGCCAAACGCCATTACCCGGTAGCAGTAGGTTCCTTCGGGTGTGAGGAATGACGTCTTCTCTTCATCTTCCTTGGCCATGTAGATTTGGTGGTAACCCTTGAAAGCATCCATGAAACTTAGGAGTTCGCACCCCGCAGTTTCGTCCACCATTTGATCTGGACTGGGAAGGGGGTATGAATCCATCGGACAAGCCTTGTTCAAGTCCGTATAATCCACACACATTCTCCACGTGTTGCCCTTGGGAGCAAGGACAACGTTGGCCAACCAATCCGGGTATTTGACTTCCCGGATGTGACCAACACTGAGGAGGTCCTTCACTTCCTTCTTGACGAAGTCTCGCCGGTCACTGGCCAGGTACCGCTTCTTCTGACGTACCGGTCGACTTCCTTCCCTCACGGCCAACCGGTGGCAGATAACAGAGCGATCTATTCCGGGCATATCCGCCACGCTCCATGCGAATATGCCCGCGTATTCTTGGAGGACCCGTGTAATCTGTGCTTTGAGATCCTCGGGGAGATTTGCTCCAATTCTGACCATCCTCGAAGAATCACCCGGGTGAAGTTCGATTTCCACCGTCTCGGCCTCGGGCTCCAATTTCTCCCGAGTCTCTCCCTTTGTAATCTCTTGGGACATGACATTGACCCCCTTGGTCATTTTCTTGACTCCTGGGCGTTCCTCTGGTCGCCCTTCACCTCACCCACACCACCTGGAGTGTGGAACTTCATGCATAGATGAGGCATGGAAATCACCGCCCCGACTCTATTGATGCCTGGCCTTCCAAGAATTGCGTTGTGGACGCACTTGATGTCCACAACTATGAACCGCATCTTCTTCCACACAGTCTTTTCACCTGATCCTAGTTCGACCGGTAGAACAATGGATCCTTCAGCTTCAACGGTGTCCCCCGTGAAGCCTGAGAGAGGGGTTTTGAGGGGTTCAAGTTGTGTTCGACACAACCTGAGTTTTTGGAAGGTCTCCAGGTATAAGATGTTGACACTGCTGCCGGTGTTAACAAGTACCCGGGCGACATCCACCCCATTAATGTCCATGGTGATGACCAATGGATCATTGTGATCTTCACCGGTAGGAGGGAGATCCCGGTCAGTAAAGACGATAGGCTCCCTCCTAGTATGTTTACGCCTGGGCGGTTCAGCACTTACCTCTCCAACGTAAATGCTCCGGACCCAGTTCTTCCGCTGCGCGGTTGAATCTCCACCCTCGGGTCCACCAAAGATCATGCCGATGTGCTCTTTTTCGGGAGTAGGCTGCCGCTCCCTTGGCCGGTTATTCCTCCGCCGGTCGTTGTCCCGGTCATCCCCTGGGGCAGTTGGCCTAACCCATTGATGACTCTTCTCTTGGGCTTTCTGCAAGCAATCCTTGCCCAGCTCTCCACTGTCTATCATCTGCCGGATTACTCCCTTAACATTCTTGCATTCGGAGGTGTTATGGGAATCTGACCTGTGGTACGAACAATAGGTGCCCGACCACTGCCCTACTTGACTGGTAGGGTTTTCTGGAGGAATGACCGGTGCTTTCCGGACTTCTTGGCATTCTTCCGTATTAACCACTCAGATGACCGGGTCATAGTGGTGCCTCGGCCGGCTAGGTTCCGGTGCTTCTTCCTTCTTGACTTGTACCGGCTTGGGCTTGTGACCATGCTCAGCTTCTCTCTTTGCCCGGAGCTGGGTTTCAGCTTCAGCAAACTCCCATGCAGTGTGGTAGGCCTCTTGGTACGTAGCTGGGGGTTTCCGGCAGAACTCCTTGTATAGTTCCCTGGCACGCAAGCAATTCAAGAGGAGGGATAGGACGGTCTTGTCATCCATCTCTTCCACCTTGTCTACCTCCTCCTTCCACCGGGTAAGGAACTGAGTAAGGTTCTCAAACTCCCTCTGCCCGGCTGTACTAAGATAGGTGAATTTCTTCCTCTTAGTACAATTCTCCTGGAACTTGGCCTTGAATTTTGAGGCCAAATCACTGAACGAATCAATGCTTCCCGGGCGAAGCTTATTGAACCATTCAGTGGCTCGGTTCCGCAAGGTCTGGAAGAAAAAAAGGCACTTTTCTTCATCGGTGCAACCGTTCATGGTCGCACTCTGGTTGAAGGAATCCAGATGGATTTCTGGATCTTCCTTCCCGGTGAATCTAGGGGCGTCGATCTTAACCTTTCGCAGGAAAGGTGTCAAATGGACCCTTGTGGTGAACGGGGATCCTGCTAGGGGTTTGTCTCGGTCATTCTTCTCTCCGACCTTCTTTTCCACCCTTTCCAGCTTTGCCTCCATCTGCTGGACGCGGTCGTTTGGGATGGTTAACCGGTTCGCCACCGGTAACCTGGGCTGGCTTTCTGCCCCCTCTTCGTGGTGGGAGGCCCTCGTCCTCGCTGGCCCCTGCCGGTTAGACCGGGTGCGGGTAGGCTCGGCCTCCCGCACCTCGCCTAGCCGGGCGAACGCGCTGACATGGGCAACGCTCTGCCCTAGCCTTTGCTTGGCTGACTTCCTCTGGCCTTCCTCCCTATCCCCCAGCCTTTCGAAGGCGGAGTTTCGGGAGGTCGCTTGCCGGATGTTTTTTCCTTTCTTCTTCTTGTGGGCCCTTGGAACGTCCCACTCGCCGTCATCGCTCTCAATTGAGACGCAATGACCATCAGGGGTGACTTGCGGATTCGTACCCTGCGGGGGACGCGATGGCCCTGCAGCGTTAAGTGCGCCGGTCAAGTTGACAGGGGCCATGGTGCTGACCAGCTGGGGCTGGAAAGGTGATGGCTGCGGCATCGGCGTCTGGAACGACGTCACCGCCATCGGAGCTTGTAAGGGCATGGTTCCCGCGCCTGGAAGGGCGAATGGGAACATACCAGTGAGGAAAGGCATCCCCCCGTTCTACTGGCACATGGCCATGACCTGGCCAAAGCCCTGGATGGCTTGTAGGTTGGCTGGGTCATTCATGAACTGAGCCATGCTTGGTGGGAACGTAACCCTCGGTCCAGCGGAAGGGACGGGGGTCGCGAAGGGACTGATCACGCTGGCCGTCGGGACAGAGCTCAGACCCAAAGGCAACACCGGGGCTGAAATGACTGGTATGGTAGCAGCCACAGGGATGCTGGTACCCTCGTTGGTGGCCTGCACATGAGCGGAAGTAGCATTGATTTGTTGGCTCGAAGACATTTCGAGTGGTGTTTTAGTGGGTAGGTTTGTGTTTAGGAGAAGAAACCTTAACGGTCCCACGGGTGGCGCCAAAAATGATGGTGTAAATTACTCGACCGGTCAAACTATACTAGACCGGGTCTAGAATAGTTTGTTCGATTTGGCAAAGTAAGAAAGGTAAAAACACGCAGATTGACCGGTAGGACTTTAGGTGGAACACCTGTAGCCCAACTTGTATTATAACGGAGAATGCATGGGTGCTTTTACAAGGGAGTTTAGAGAAAATGAATTCGGATCCCTCTTTCTGAGGTTTACACGAGTATTTATACTAGGCTATGGGGGACAAGACCACGTGCGCCCACGTGGGGGCACGATGCTGATGTGGTGCGAGGTGACTGGTTTCGTCTTTGAGCTGCCTTGTCGCCTTGTGAGGGGGATTATTCCCTTTGTCGAGTGGTGCCTTGGATGGATTCTTCAGCATCTCCAGTTGTCCTCTACTGACATGGGTCGCTACACACCAAGCCCTCGTAGATTCTCCTCTGCCGACACTTTCCAACCCTAGAAACTACACCGGGTAATCTCCGTGGGATGAAATCATCGAAGTTTAGGGAAGAATAGGGGGACAAAGTAGTTTGACCGGTATACTTTTTCCGTGAAGTATACCGGTCATATTTTGGCCGATGATATATCGTTTTGCTGACGATTTAAGTCTCCCTTCAAAACTTTCGAGATTGACCGGTCAACTAATTGGTCTTCTCTTTTGACTGGTCGTGGGTGGAATACACCCATCAATATGAAATGACAAAAATGATAGTCAATAAATTTTTATCTCAAATAAAAATTCAAATGTTTTTCAGAAAAAATAACATTAATACAATTCATAATATAACAATAAAATGATGTTATTATTATTAGTTATACAAATTGTATTTTCTTTTTTTAAAATAAACACAAAACAAAGTAGTGATTAATGAACAGAAAACAAAGTGATCCACAGCCGTACCCCTCCGTCCGAGAATGATGTTCCCACTCTACTCTTTTTTCCGTCCGGAAATAATGTTCCCACTCTACTCTTTTTTCTCTATTCTTCCAAAATTACCCTCTCTTCCTTCTTTTCTTTCTTTTTCTTTCTTTTTCTTCCTTTCTTTTCTTATCTTCTCTTTCGTCTTTTGGTCTCCGCCACCCCTTTTCCTCATCCCCAGTTCCCCACCCCTTTCTTCTTCCTCCATCTCTGCTATTCATTTCTTCTTCCTCATCTCTGCAATCTTCTTCTTCCTCCTCTCTATAGTCTTTATTCTTCTTTATCTTCCCCTTCTTCTTTCTATTCCATCTTCCTTCTATATCTACGCATATGTATGGCAGCTATAGTGATGGCCGGCGATGGAGATGGCGGCTGCCGGCGATGGCGATGGTGAGTATGCTCTTCTTACTCTCTTTTTTCTTTTTCTTTCTTCTTTTATGTCCCCCCCACCCCCGCTATTCATCATCATCATCTTCTTCGATCTAGATCTATGCTAGATCTAAGGGGCTGGCAGCGTTGGCAAAGCAGGCAGCGGCGACGGTAGATCAGATGGCAGTGGTGAGAGCTAGATTCGGATAGATTTGTATTAGATTTTTTTCTTCTCGTTTTGTTTCCCCTGATTTTTCCCTTCCCTTATTGTGGTGACTGGTGAGTGGCTGAAGAAGATGGTGAGGATAGGGATGGCGAAGATGTAGTAGTTGGTGATGGCGTTGGGCGGCAGTGGAGCTGGAGCAGTGGTGAGTGGCAATAAGATGGGGCTGCGGTGGGCAGCGCAGAGATGGGCGGAGGAGGGTTGGGGCAGCGGTGGCTGGGACAAAGAAATTCAAGGAAGATATGAGGGCATTTTGGACATTTTAATGTCATAGTCAACACTCACTAAAAATGAAGAAAAATCAAACTGGGAACATCTTTCCCGGACGGAGGGAGTAATAATCTTTCAACATTGAAAAACAAAAATGCAAATAAAAGATTACCCAATCAAAAAACGTAGTATAAATTTCTTGCGAATTCACTTGGAAACAAAAAATCAACAAAACACCGAAGATTTAAACTCTTAAAGCATTAGAGTGTTTTAAACCTTAAAAAAACACCTTTGACGGGAAGGAACTTGCCGATGGTACTGAGGTGTGCTCTGTGTCACTCGGGAGAATTGAGGCCGGAAGGATTGATCGATTCGCCCTAATTCGCTCTATCGTTTTTTTTATAACGCTGTCGTTTTAATACTCCATACAATGTTTCATTCTGTTATTTAAATGACACCATTTTATTTTTTTAAAGAAATTTTCATCCACCCCAAAGACTGATATTACCACTCAGCTCTTCACCGGATCTTCGCCGGGGGCACGTGCCCTGTGAAGGCTCCGCCTCTCCTCCGCCCCTGCCTGGCTGCCTAGACGAAGTGTTGTAAGATTTATTGCGAGAATAAAACTCCATTATACTACCTCCGTCCCACTATCTTTGTCCACTTTTGACTTTTGGAACTGTTCATCTAAGCACTTTGACTCATCAAATTCTCTCAATGTGTAATCCTAAATATAGTCATGTGTGATCTTGTTTAAATTGTCTTAACATATAGATTATTAATATATAGTTTATATAATTTTTAATATATAAATTACACGATAAAATGGATTAAAGAAGTGCATTGGATGGTGTGCCAAAAGGTAAGTGGACAAAGACAGTGGGACGGAGGGAGTATATATAGACTAAGGTCATTTTTTCCCAAACCTTTATTTTTTTTAGAGTAAATTCCATAAAAAGTCCTCAGTTTAGGTCGTTTTACATATTTAGTCCCTACATATCAAATATTACTAATTTAGTCCCCAATTATTATATCATTTTTCACGAATGGACCTTTGTAAAAAAAGCCGAATGTAAAAAAGCCAAACCGAACCATTAGTGTTTGGTTCCGTTTTGGTTTTCACTTTGAAAAACCGAACTGAATAAACCAAACTTTCTTAGATACTTCACTTTATTTATAGGAAAAATTACCCAAAATAATCCCAACTTTAACCGGTCTTTCAAAAATAATCTCACCTTTCACTGTGATGCATAATAATCCCAATTTTATTGAAATTTGACAGTTTTGGGTCGCCGTTAAGTTTCTAACGGAGGGTTAACGGAAATGCCCGTTTTAGGCAACAAAATGAAAGTTGGGATTATTTTTGATGAATTTTTGTTTTTAATTTTTTTTGAAATTTTTATTTAAATTTTTTGAATTAGTTTCAACCTCCATTTCTTTTTCTTTTTTTTAAAGATTATTCTTACCTTACAAAAAAAATAGATATAAAAAATAATGAAAATGAAAAAATAACTAAAACCATATAAAATTAATCAAATAAATAATGTAATCAATAGAAATTAAACAGAAACTGGTAAGAAATAAAATAAATATATACGGAGTGGTGGGTTTTAACATTTTACACACTATACAGAGTCTTAATGTACTACTTATTTTTAAAAGAACAAGCCGTCCGGTAAAATTGGAATTATTGTAGATAATTTTTTCTAAAATATAAGAAGTTATATGTTAATACTTTGTATAATGCGTATAATATTAAAACCCACCCGTATATTTTTATTTTACTCTTACCAATTTCAAGTTAGTTTCCATTGATTACCTTATTTATTTTATTATTTTTGAATTTTTTGTATCATTTTAATTACAGTTCTCATTTTTTTCATTTTTTATATCTATTATTTTTATTTTTTAAACTAAGACTAATCTTTAAAAAAGGAAAAAGAAATGATGATGGAGGTAGAAAGTAATTTAAAAAATTTAAATGAAAAATTTTAAAAAAATAAAAAAAATGAAAATTCATCAAAAATAGTCCCAACTTTCATTTTGTTGCCTAAAACGGGCATTTCCGTTAACCCTCCGTTAGAAACTTAACGGTGACCCAAAACTGGCAAATTTCAGTAAAGTTGGGATTATTATGCATCACAGTGGAAGGTGAGATTATTTTTGAAAGACCGGGTAAAGTTGGGATTATTTTGGATAATTTTTCCTTATTTATATGAATATATGTGATATGTAGAAAAGTCATAGAAATATAAATGCAAATAAATTACTAGTCGATTAAAATTATTTTCTTAACTATTAATTAAAAATTCTAGTCATATTAATATAAACTTTAAAAAACCTAAGAATATGAACACCAATAGCTAATCCTAATATAGAATTATATTAACATAAAAAATTGATACGAGTAATTTACATATTTACATAAAAAATACTTTGATGTTATAATGAAAATGAAAGTATTATACCAAAAAATATAAATTCTTCGTAATTGATTTTACATACGATGTCTTTGGAGTATTTGAAATCTTCTAAATGTATGTTGGACACTCAACACATATTTTTTATGTAAAATTGAACAAAAAGGAACAATAACCTCCCGTTTGGTTTTTGTTTTTGTGTAAAAATCAAACAAAAAAACCAAAGCTAACACTACATATTGTTATTGTTTCATCGAGTTAGTGTTTTTTACAATTTTTTAATGCTTATAAATTTCTACTTTTATAAACCGATAAAACCAAAAAAGACCGAAATAAAAACCGTATAAAACCGAACCGAATAACCAACGGTTTACATATTTTTTATGCAAAACCGAACCGAACCAAACCTCCAATTTACCTTCCGTTTTATCTTTGGTTTTGGGTGAAAGCCGAACCGCCAAAACCGAACCCACCCCTATTACATATTTGGAATTTCACCAAGATTCATAGAGAAGTTCACCTAGGTTTGAGCCCCAACGAAGGCATTGACTGTTTGTACGTGATTAGTTTGAGAATTGTATGAACAAATACTACATTTTAATAGAGTAAATAAAACTAAAAAACATCATATACTGACGTTGAGACCTTGTTCTTTAGGATTGAAATTTTAAAAGTGGATGTTAGAAGAAACTGGAAGAGATTGGAAGAAATTAGAAGTTAGACTAAACTAGAAGATATGAAAGTTGTGGAAAGAATTAAAGTGTTAACAAGTCATTTGATTAAATGATTACTCAGACACACACACGCACATGCACACGCACACACACATATATATAGATTTTGGTTCAGGTGAGAATGCGATCTTATGAAAGAAATAAGAATAAATCTGGTGCTTTAGATTATGAGATCTAAGGGTCAAGATTGCATCAAAATTAGGTGCACCAAAATGGTTTGAAAATGCGTCATGTCGAAATGCACCAAAATCCTTTGAAAATGCACAATCTCAAAATCTGAGTGCATGATGCAATCTGAGCCGCACAATGCATTCGATCCAAATGCTAGATTTTATTCTTATTTCTTTCACCAAGGTGCATTCTCACCTGAACCGGCCTCTATATATATATATATATATATATATATATATATATATATATATATATATATATATATATATATAATATGGTGCGGTTCCGGTGAGAATGGTGCTTGGTGAAAGAAATAAGAACATTACTCATTCGTTGGATTGAGTGCATCGCATGGTCTAGATTTAACAATCCATCTAATACATCAATCAATTTAATTTTGTCAAGTAATTACTAGACTTCTATACATAAGGAAAGAATTAATTGTTAGGGGTATAACGGTCATACGGAGAATGAACTAATATGGAGTTCATGTGTGGATAAGGAAATAGTTATATTTACATTTCATAATTTTTATACCGTAAACTAATATTTATATTAAATTATTTATTTTTTATCATTTAATTATTCTATTGCACTTTCTATTTTTACATAACTTTTCGCATACAATTTTGTCCTTGACAAATAATATGCCATTAAAAATCTTTTATAGTAATATTGAATATAAATTTTTGATATTATCTTCTCACGTTTCAAAGTAATAAATGTCAAATTTATACTCTTTTTCCTCTATTATTTAACTAAATAATAATATAATTTTTAGGCGTTTTTAGGATGTTACAAATTCTCTTATCTCAGAAAGATGTATTATGGTATCCACATTTATCAATGAATAATGACTCTTGAGTGACTTTATTTTTGATGAGAAAACCTAGGAATTTTTAGTATTTGTAAGTTCAATTACGATTTGTGAAATAATATGCCTATGTGGAATTGAACCCAGAACCGAGTACATATCGCGCTCTACCATTTGAGCTTATACGCAACGATTTATTTTTTCAAAGAGACTATCATCTTGTACTTAGACATATTATATACACAAAATATCTTTTGAAATATCCATAATTCAACATTTTTCTAACCCTTATTCAGGTGCATCATAAAACATTTTAAAATGCACCGTTGTTTGCAAGAAAATCACCGTCTAGAATATATAGATGCATCAAATTTTCACCATATAATATGATAGAAAAATTTTACTTTGGTTTTGAAAATGCACATTAACAGAATTTATTACTCCCTCCGTCCCTAAATATTTGCCACACTTATATTACCGAAGCAAAATATCAAGTTTTTTCAATTAATTTTATTTACATGTTTGTATAGAAATAAAAAATAAAATTTACATATCAAAAAACTACATTAAAAGTTTTTCGAAACAAGAGGTGTCAAGAATATTTTATTTTATCAAATAACCAATGAAAACGTAGAAATAAACAAAAGTTCCCGCAACGCTGAAAAAGCACACGTTGCAAATATTTAGGGACGGAGGGAGTATATCCATTTCTTTATTTCTAATGATGCATTGTCTTTTTATTTAAGTGCATTGCTTATGTCCCAATAATGCACAATAACATAAATCCATGCACAATAACTTTTACAACAACGCAAAACATATTCACAAAATGGAAACTTTAACATAAAATTCAAAATTGCTATTTTCGTTTAGAAGCTAAGATTTTAAAAAAATCCCATTCATGAACTGATGCACAATACTCAAACTCATAAGGCATATTTGAGACATAGTGAGTAATAAACTTTTTCCGAAGGAAAATACTAAACCAGATAATTGCATTCAAAAGCAAGTTTAATTTATTTGATAAAAAAAATTATTTTTGTACTTGAATCCATATCCGCCGAATGCAATTTTTAATCGAAACAAAAAAATTACCCCAGTAAATCTTTAACATAGAATCACCGTACTAATTTTTCTTAGATTACAAGAATCACATAACACACTAAAAAAGAAACATAGAAAGAATACTAAAACATATACTCCGTAATTTTAAAATTAGAACAAACATGGTGATTTTATGAATGTGTAATTTGAATCTTAAAAAAGATTGAATATTGACTGCTTCCATATAAATTGTAAAGAGTGATTTGAATTAAGCCCGTGATGTTTAATTGCATATAAGGAAACAGAATATGTGGTGAGGCTGGAAAATAGGTAAGGATTGGAATGATTAGGCATGGAATAACATTTGTCAAAAATGTCTCTATACAAAAAGATTCAATCAGATCAGACCAGATTCAATCAGATCAGATCAGACCCAATTAGATCAAATCAGATCCAATCAGATCAGACCAGATCCAATCAGATCAGACCAGATCAAATCCAATAATATCAAATCAAGAAAAAATATAAAAGATAATATTTATATTTTTCAAGGATTAATTAATAATTACTATTATTTGATTAAATCACATTACTTTATTTAAAACTACACACACCTAAATCTTAATTAATATTATAATTTTAAATATTATTGTTGTTATATTATTATTATTATTATTATTATTATTGTTATTATTATTATTATTATAATATTTCAACTACAAACCATTATTTTTAATAATTGTTTAGCTTATAGGATAGAAATGATGCATGGAAGCAATGTTAAAGGTTAACAAATTTTATTTTTCATACTTTAAAAAGAGTTATTTTAAAATACTTTTTTATAAATAATTATACAAAACTTAGTTTTCAAAACTATAAATATTTTATACTTAAAAAGACTTGCTTTTAAACTTTAAGATGGTATAATATACACAAGGGTGAGTTTATGACAAAATTGATAGAGGTGAAAGGGATATTAGTGTTTAAATATATTACTCCGTATTATGTAATATGTATATAGAATGTGATATTTTTGTAGAATAGCATCAATATTTTCTAATATTTGGTTATTTTAATACCGATTGTTTAGTTTTCACAAAAATTAAAAAGTTGTGATATTGAAAAGATGTTTAATATTTTTAAAAAAAGTTTAAACATATCAATAATTAGCTGATTTTCTTATTATACTTTTTTTATGTATATATAAATTGTAATACTTTAAAACTATTAAATTTTGTAATAATTTTAAGTTTAACTTAAATCAAATTTAAATTCATTTACACCAGATCTAATTAGAGAAAATCAGATTCAATTAGATCAGATCAGATCCTATCAGATCAGATCAGATCAGATTCAATCAGATCAGATCAGATCCAATCAGATCAGATCAGACCCAATCAGATCTGATCAGATCCAATCAGATCAGATCAGATCTAATCAGATCGGATCAGATCCAATCAGATCAGATCTTCAAAAATTCAGATCAGATTCAATCAGATCAGGCGTACGGAACAGAGCCGTAGTTGAAAGAAATCACGGCTAGATCTAATGGTCAGAATTTATTCTCATTTCTTTCATAAGATTACATTCTCACATGAACCAAATTCTATATATATATATGTGTGTGTGTGTGTAAGAAACTATAATATTAGATAAAAGTAATTCATCCTTGTTCATTTTTTATGTGATATGTTATAAATTTGAATATATAATATTGCTATATATCCATCGTATATAAATTGTTATTAAAAGAAATGAAATTAGTTAGAAAAAATTGGAAAGAATTAGAAAAAGAAAAAAGATGGGAAGGAGTCAAGGAGGGGGTTACTTTTGAATGAGTTGGAAGTCATTCAAAAGAAGGCATCAGTGTCTGTTGGTAAAATTACCCGATCCAATTCCAAACAATAGCTGAATCTTCAGAGCTCTTTGTAACAGTTGAAAACTCGAGGAAGAAGTTACGGCCATGGATGAGCTTGAATTCCGGCGCCAAATTGAGCTCTTCCCGGTCGTCAGATCTCGCGATTTTCACGTAAACCTCTTTAACTTTTGGATCGATACTGCCGCACACACTTGCTAATCTCTCACCCGCAGCAAATAAATATATTACTGTATTTGTTATTTGTACGATTACAAAGAGTAATGGCAGCGTAAAAGAAGTACGGAGTAGCTTTCAGAGTATAGAGTGAAATAATTAGTTGCTGGAACTTTTTATTGGTTTGATCGTTAATGCATTTTTTAGTACTGTATTATTTTTATTTTTTATTTTTGACTTTTGAATTAACTTCCAATATGAACCTGAGACGGCCAAAAATTTGCAGGTTCATACCCACAACAATTTTGATATTGGAATCTGATATAGTTAGGTCATGGGCTTGTATCTTTAAAAAAACTACATATTTATCTGTCTACTAAATTTTGTAGAAGATATGAGAAATTAATGATTTTCTAATTAAAAGAAAAGGAATGGATACAAGGTGATGTGGTGACCTAATCATATCTTATAGCTCATAGCATCTGACACATAAACTTTCATAATCAGGCAAGCCAACCACTCGATGAAAAGAATGGAGAGGATGGAACAGGTACTTTTATGACTTGAGAAATTCATCACCATTGCATTCTTGTAAGGTGCAAGTATGTTCTATTTTTAAGGACTTTAGAGGACACAATGGAAATGATTAAGTTGAATCACTAGATATCCTTGTGTTCTGATGCAATTTACTTTGTAAGTTGAATGCTCAATGATTATTTAATTTGTTTTGGTGACATGAATCTCTGGGGGATTAGATTGTTTTTTTGTTAACTAGATGCATTGACGGATACAGCTGCATTTTGGGACAAATTGAAGATGGTTACAGAACAAAAGGTTTGTCATATAATTCCTTGTTTTTATTCATGAATGACATTACCCTATAGGCACTATTTGGACAAAAGGTTTTGGAGCTTAGTCTATATCATGAAATATACGGAGTGATTGAGATGTATAAAATGGAAAATCAATGGAAATAAAAGAGTCATCTTGATCATATTTAGGTTTATGTGAATGATAGACTATATCAAAATGACACATTAAACTTCCCTTTCTTCTTACTTTCAATGAGGTTTTAGGCAGTAAATGCAGCAATGCATCAAGGGTCTACTAGAAACAGCCTCTTTGTAAAAGCAACATCGGTGAGACTGAGTACATCTGCATACTTTATGGTCACCCCAAACCCCAACAGAGTTGGGATTATATCGGGGGCTGTTGTTGTTGTTGATAAATCAATGTGATTAGGATATAATCTTAGATAAGAAATTTTTGGCATAAAGGATTAGGATATAAAGGTAGTAATCCGTTTAGGTTGTCACTCTGGTTTGAGTGGTTGATGCTATTCCTTCCATCCTACTTTTACATGTTTAGTAGTTTTAGGGCATGCATAGATCCTTACTCTTATATGTGAACTTGGATGTGCTACTATCTCTGCCAGGCATTTCGTTATGCTGATTGCTTTTATTGATTTACTAATTTTTTGGCCAACCCTCTTTGATTACATGTTTAGATTCCTTTTGAGTTGATAGGTTCAGGGTCTATCATAAACCATAAACAACCTCTCCACTCTTTATGGATTATGGGTAGAGGAAAGGTATGCATACATCTCATTCTCAACAAACCCCACTTCTGGGAATACACTAGGGGGGTTGCTGTTGTTGTTGGAAATACCAAAATGATATGCAATTGCATAATCATGGTTTTCAAAGAAATTTTAGGCGGTGCGCGTGCACCTTGAGGCGTTGGGGCGCAAAAGCGGTCCCTTTGAGCCACAAAGGCCTAGACTCATTTTGGATATTTGAGGCTTATTCTCAGGTAGATGAGGCGTGAACGAGGTGTAAGTCTCTGCTTTCATTTTAAATTTATTAATGCAATGGGCCAATTTGAAAATATAGGAATATTTCACTATAGGAATATTTCATTATCGATGAGAAATGAGATGGACAACCAAAAAACAACAACAACATCCCAGTTGAATTCCAATACAGTAGGGTCTGGGGAGGGTGTGTGTAGGCAGACCTTGCCCCTACTCGGAAGTAGGGAGGCTGTTTCCAAGAGACCCCCGGCTCAACCTGCACAAAAATATGGAAGGAAACACAGTATAACACGGGTAAAGAGCCAAGTACAAGCAACAAGTACAACCAACTATATCAATATTTGCATGTTGCCGCATATAAGCATATTATATGAATCCTAGATTCAAACGAGTGATGGCTTCGTGGAAGTTGAAGAATGACTATATAAATTTATGGAAAGGCTGATATGCTCTATGACTTATTTGTCATCACTGGGAACTATTCATTTAATTCAACTAATTTCAAGGAGTAATATGTTAATTTACCCACACATTGAATATGAGATATTTTGGAGAGTATCTTTTTACGGGACACTCTAGTTAACAAAAATAAATTAAATATAATGAAAATGAGCTTCTTTTATTCAAGGGAAGTGATAGAACCCGGCCTACAATTAACTTCACCCTACTTTTCCATCTTTAAGAGAAAAGATACGCTTACCCTTATACAAACAAAGCCTTTTATCTCCTTGACCATAATAAAAGCCTGATATCCTTTTTATTACTTATGCTTACCTTACTACTAAAAACAAGATATTTATGATAATATACATTATAAATCTTATTGTAAAATGGGCGCAATTCTAATGACACCGGTGTTAGGTTGAGACTGATGACATAATGCAATTTTAGGGTCCTATGGTGCTCCATTGGGCCTGGAATTGGGAGATGGGTTCAGGGGCCAGGGGGTTTTCTTTAGGTTGGGGGGGGGTGCCCGTCGCCCATGTGTTCAAGGGGCTGGCTGATGCCAATTTGCTACCGGGGGGAGTGTATTTGCAACAATTCCAGATATAATGGAGTGAATTTATAACAAATAAAGATATAATGGCGTGAATTTATTGAGTGAGTTTATTGATTTGATGGGGTGTAGCTATCACTTGCTTTTTTTCAAATAGAGCTCTTTTGGTAAACAAGTTGGTCAATTTTCAAATGTTACTCTTTTTTTAAAGTAAATAATGTCTTAATTATTGTTAGTCTTTTCATTATATCTACTCTGAAGTTTTCTCTCTATTTTTATGTGTTTCAATTAGACTTGCAAAAAATTGACCGACTTGTTTTTGACCCGAAGACCTGACCCGAGACCTGACCTGTTTCAATTAGTCCTGCCAAAAAATTGTCCCGACCTGTTTTATGTGTTTCAAAAAAAGGTTTTGTTGATCGAACCCAAAGATAACCGAACCTGAAATGACCCGCTAAAAATGGGTTAAACTCGACCAAACTCGAATATGACCTGACCAACCAGCTAATGTAAGAGTTTTTCAAAAGCATGTACTTTAATATGAAAAATAAGGTTATATTTTTATTGTTATCTTATTACTCATTTTTAGTTTATAAACTTATATTTTCAAAGTAGTTTTCAATGATATCACATAGTTATCTTTCATTTTTTCTCAAAAGTGGTACACATTTAAGTTTTTATATTATTCATAATATTGTTAAATATATCTTAAAAGTAATTAAAAATTAAAATAAAATATTCTAAGTGGTTTTATAAATGTAACTTGATATTTTATTAGGGAGTAGTTTTTTAGTGTAAAATGCAAGTGCTAGTATGAACTTAAATATTCTGAAAATAAATCTCAAAATCCATTGGGTTGACCCCGACCCGATGACACTGGGTCATGAACATGGAGTTCTCAACCCGAACCCGATGCAACCCAAATCCGAAGTGATCCAACCCAGTTCCGATGTGACCGACTGATTTGATAGCTCTAGTTTAATGAGTACTAGCAGTATTGCATATATTGCCATTAGAAATCACTCAAGTGATGTGATGAAGATGAAATCACTTTTTAAACTGCAGTCGTTCTTGCAATGTACAGGTCGGCACTGAAGAAGCAGAAAAGTTTTGCCAGGCATTTCAACAAATTTACAGGAAACTTGTGAGTAATATAGTAACTTCCCATAATAATAACAACAAAAACAATAATAGTCATTTGGGTGTTATCAGTGTTTCTTGGTACTAATACGTTGCATTCAGGTGTATGAAGAACTGAGTTCAGAAGTTGCTCGTACTTGTCTGAACTCTTGATTGATTTTAGATACGAGTACTATGTTTCTTCCTTCTCGGAGTTGAGAAATTCCAAAACTGTCACTTTGCGTGCTCGTTTATCCATTTCCAAAAAAAACACTTGTGATTTAATTGTCATAGATTTGTCTTATGCATCATAAGTAAGCGTTTACTGCTATATCATTTTGATGAGTTATAACATGTAGTTGGGATAATGAGCCCCCCCTTTTAACAACCAATGTCTGTATTGATGGTTTTCGTTCTTTTTTTGTTTTCCCCTATCACATTAGAGCTGTGATTTAAGGCTTCTACTTCATATGAGAAAATGAGAACTTTGAAGTTGTATTTTCACTCTTTTAATTTAGTCAGTGGTTGCTGTAAGGGACAATTTTCAAGCAAAAATGATTTTTCTTAGAAAACGGCTTCACAAATAAACTAAATTTTCTATTACATTCTCCGGTGTTTGGTAAGCTTCTAAACATTGTTTTTAAAGGCATTTGAGGCGCTGTGCCTCGAGGAGTAGAGGCCGTGAAGCTGAATGGTAGTGGGTTTTAGTATTCAAAAGTCAAACTCAATATATATAGTTGGTATTAGTGTAATGATTTTTTTTACTATTATCCAGCATAAGTTATTTAATTGATAACAAAATCAAACTGGAGGAATATTTTGGGATGAGAATAAAATCATTTATTCGCATAGTTTGTAGATTTTTAAGTGTTTTTTTCATATTATAGACATTTTGTTTTTGTTATGAAATTAATAATTGTTCATTTATTCAATTAATCAGGTCTACTTTCTAGAATAGTATATTAAGGCACCCATTGATCAATACTATTTTTGTATAGTCCTTCTCACTTGTGTTTGTATTCATATCAAGTCTCTCTACTATAAATAGAGATCTAATCCCTGCATTGTAATCACCATTAAGAACAAGAAGAAGAGTAAAGAATTAATAGAGAGAAGAAATCAAAAATATATTATATCTATTCTCATAATCTCTGAGTAGTTTTCTTTCATTTTATAATATGTTATCAGCACGAATTTGCTCAAAAATCTCAAGAAACCTTGTTCTTCTCAAAAGGTATATTTATTTAATTTTCTTTATAAACAAACTAAAATATTTTCTTTAAATAAAAAAATATGAGAAGTATGCTCTGTTATTGCTAAATGTTTGGGATCATTCACATCAGAAAATCATGTTTTGCATAAATTAAAACGAGAGGTAGAATTTAATATGAAGTAGCTAAGATCGAAAAACCAAAACTAATGTTATCTTTTAAACTACTATTAAAAGATAAATCGTAAAAGAAAGAAAAAACATCCAAGAATTCAATAATTTCTATTATGAACATACCTTGCTTCTACCCTTTTTTCATTTGTTCACGTATTCCTAGATTAAAAAAAAGTAAATTCCATAAATGGTCCCCAATTATATACAGATTTTCATATTTAGTCCCCAAATATAAGATATTCCATAAATAGTCTTTAATTTTTTGAAAACCATTTCACAAATAGTCCTTTACACCAAATATTACAAAATATTTTGAGTAAATTCTCAAAATGATCCTTTGTAATAAGAGTTTTCCCAAAATAATCTTCAATAAACGAAAATTCCTAACATGATATTTTTTGATTGAGATGTGTCTTTTCCGCAATGTTGGACCCACAATTCACGTCCTCCTTAACCTTTCATTTGATACTTAATCTCTCCAATCCAATAACATCTTTCTACAATAGTGACAAGGGGGGCTGATTCTTCCATCATCTAAACAATCGTGTCTCCAGTCGTAGGCGACATACTTGGACTTGGCACTAAAAGCGAAGCATCGATGAGAATTCTTATAGCACCTATCATGTTTGTTCTGAAATTTTGTAAAGCTAAAAGAATCTAACTCGGTACAATTGGGGGTCCACGAACTAAATTTTGTAGTGAACAAGAGATTTATATATCGAAATCTGCAATATGATTGAAAGATTGGAATTTCTTAATAATTTCATCAACATAAAGAACGTTCTCTAACAAAACTAGAAAACTAAGTCTAGCATTGAGTACATCAAAGAAATCATCGTCATGCAATCTTCATATAGTGATTTGAGCATGGTGGTGGCAATCCAATTAAATTGAGTAATTGACGGCAGTCAAGGAGAACTGAATTGAAAGCTAAAAATATAGCGATTCCATCATAAATATTGCAATCAGGGGCAACAAAAATCATTATAATTGTAATTAATCAAGCTGCTCAATTTTCGGAATATGTAATTTGGGCAAGGAATTGAATCTGCGACTCCAAAATATTTAGCATATTAACATTTAGGGGCTGTTTGTTTCATCCTTCTAATGGTTCAGATGTCTGAATGGTTCAGCACTTAATGGTTCAGACTGTTTGTTTCATGAGCAGATGTCTCAATGGTTCAGACATTTGCCTCTGAATGGTTAAGTATTATACGGAGTCTGAATGGTTAAGACCTCTTATCTGAATTGATCAGACATTTGCCTCTGAATAGTTAAGCAATATACTAGTTCTTAATGGTTCAGACCTCTTACTGGTTCAGCACTTACCTATTCAGAAATTGCCAAACAGCCCCTTAGTTTTAATTAAATTAATTCTAGTCATTTTTAATTAACAGAAGATTAATTGGCTTGGCTGGATGTTCAAATGTTGCATAAATAACTTTATTAGTTCGGTCAAATAGGTCTAGATTGTTCTCAAAACCAGATTTGACAAAACAGAATTAATCTGAGCGCACCAATAAATTTGTGGGCCGAGATTCGTTGGAAAACACTTTTTTGCTCAGATTAATTCTGTTTTGTCCCATTAGATTTTGAGTATGATCCGGATTTATTTGGCCGAACTAATAAAGTTATTTATGCAACATTTGAACCTCCAACCAATTTGATTAATTTTCTGTTAATTAAAAATATTTAGAATTAATATAATTCAGACTAAATGTTAAATATTGACTAGAATTAATTTTGAGAATTGTATTTGTTGCATAACGGTAAGTAAGATGTTAGCACCCAATGATAGGTTGCTATTTGTTACTACAAAATTATATGATGATGATTATATCTTGAATGGTTATTATTATTAACAATAAAACAAATATGATAAATATATGATACAGGTTATTTAAAAGAATTCTATGATTGACCTCATTTAATTGATGTTTATAATAAAGGAGAATTTACCAAAATAGGACTAAAACATAACTACTTTATCAATATAGAACCATATGTTTTTATTTTCCAATGTAGGACCATTGGTCATTATCCATTAGTCATTATTCAAGTAAATGTCCACCATCACTAGACATTATTATGTACTATTTAGGGAATAAAACGTTTAAGTCCTATGTTGGGAAATGATTTATATTTTAGTATTGAAGATATTGACAAGATTATTTCTGTTGAGCTTCCAGATAAAAATTTGGATCCTAAGAATTTCCACTCAGTGTGCGACTTTATGGTTCATGGACCTTGCGGACCATCTGCACCTTACTCATCTTACATGGACAATGGGAGATGCTTGAGACATTTTCCTAAACAATTTATTACAGGTATTGTCATTAATGAGAATGATTATGCAAGATACGGAAGGCGCAACGATGGACGAACATTTGAAAAAAATGGTATCATTTTGGATAATCGTTATGTTGTACCACATAATAGGTACCTGCTTTTAAATTACAGACCCCATTCAAATGTCGAATGGTGTAACCAATCGCGTTCAATTAAATATTTGTTTAAGTACGTCAATAAAGGGCATGATAGAGTGACTGCTGTTTTTTATGCAAACTCTTCCAATTCCACTGATCCAGCTATCGACGAAACAAATGAAATCAAGCTATATTATGATTGTAGATATATTTGTCCCTGTGAAGCTGCATGGAGAATCTTTGGATATGAGATACAATATAAAAATCCATGTCTCGAACGTTTGAGCTTTCACCTGCCGGATGAACAAATAATTGTTTTGAAGATTACGATGATACTGCCGAAGTCATTTGAAGAGAAAGCATCAAAGATAGTAAATGTTTAGCATGGATGAAGGAAAATAAAAACTATCGTGATGGAAGAGGTCTAACGTATGGAGAATTTCCACAAAAATTTGTATGGAAATCAGACAAAAAAAAGTATGAGCCTCGAAAGAGGGGCTTTGCTATAGGACACTTGAGCTACGTTCCACCGGGAACCGGTGAAGCTTATTAGTTTAGATGTCTTCTTAACATAGTACGTGGTCCTACATGTTACGAAGATATCAAAACTGTTAATGGCGTCGTTCATGAATCATATCATGATGCATGTTATGCTTTCAGATTGCTTGATGATGATAGGGAATACATAGATGCCTTCGTCGAAGCAAGTCACTCGGCTTCTGTTGCATAGATGAGAAATTTATTTGTGATGCTACTGACAAGTGATTCGATCTCTAGGCCAGGGCACGTTTGGGATCAATGCTGGGAATATATGACAGACAATGTATTATACCGTCAGCGTCATCTCTTGCATCATGGAGGTATATATTATATTTTATTTTTATATACAAGAGCTTTCTTTTAATAATTTCTATTAGTTATTAAAAAGTACACTTTTAATCATGTTAGGTCTAACACTTGAAGAAGAAGAGATAAGAAATTATGTTCTATGTCATAATGAGGATTTTGCTTTGAAGTCGTGGGAAGAGCCTTCGGGATTACACTGATATGCCACAGGCAAACCAACACGGACTTTGGACTCCAGCCAACCGATTAGTTTTTGATGAGATGCAATATGATCGCCCAACCTTGGCAAGGGAACACATCACCCTATTGGATTCTTTAAATGACGAACAACTTAACGTGCAACGTATGATTCTATAATGCAATCAGTAAACACAAACTGTGGGGAATTAAAGTTTTCTTCCTCTTCGAATATGGTGGAACTGGAAAGACGTATTTATGGAGAACTCTATCAGCTGCCTTGCGGTCTAAAGGTTATATAGTCTTGAATGTCGCATCAAGTGGAATAGCAACATTACTTTTGCTTGGTGGTAGAATAGCCCATTCTCAATTTAAAATTCCGTTGTGCCCATATGAGAACTCTACTTGCAATATTAAGCAAAGAACGCCTCTAGCACGACTCTTAATAAATGAAAAATTAATTATTTGGGATGAACCACCGATAATTCATAAGTATTGCTTTGAAACTTTAGATAAAAGCTTGCATGATATTCTATGATTTTCCAATCTATTCAGCAAAAAACAAATATTCGGAGGAAAAACAATAGTCTTTGATGGAGATTTTTTGCAAATATTGCATGTCATTCCAAAAGGAACGAGACAAAATATTGTTAGTGCGACGATTAATTCTTCCTACATCTGGAAAGATTGCACAATTTTGTGTTAAATAAAGAACATGCGGCTGCAATCAATGATTCAAGATAGTAGTTATGATTGCTTGGTTGATTTTGCTAACTGGATTGCAAGTATTGGCGACGGAGTTGTTGGAGATGATCATGATGGTTATACAGAAGTAACAATACCTAATGATATGTTGCTTCAATATTCAAGAGATCCAATAGAAACTTTAGTCACTTCCACTTATCCAGACTTTCATTAAATAGCTGATGATCCAAGCTATTTGCACGATCGCGCGATTTTGGCTCCAACTTTGGATGTAGTAGATTCTATAAATGATAAATGATTTCAATGAATCTAAATGAGGAATCACGCACGTACCTTAATTCTGACAAGGTCATGAATTTGAACTCTAATTCGAATTTTTTATACTGGCTTACATACTCCCGAAGATAGGCACTCCCATCATGTTGCTTAGAAACATTCATCATTCAATGGATTTGTATAATGGTACACGATTGATAGTATAACTCGGTTAGCTAGGGAAGCTAAGGTATTGTCTGGAACACACATGGGTCAAGTTGCTATTCTAAGACTATCACTGACACCATCATTATCAAGAATACCATTTAAGTTCCAAAGAAGACAATTCCATGTGATAACTTCATATGCAATGACAATAAATAAGAGTCAAGGCCAATCATTAAAATATGTCGGATTATTGTCACAGAAACCAGTTTTTAGTCATTGACAATTAATTATATGTTACAGTTTCAAGAGTAACAAATCGTAGTGACTTGAAGATTCTTATTGACGATGCAAAACATGTTTCCACATGATGTACCAATAATGTAGTTTACAAAGAAGTTTTTCAGAATTTGTAAGTTATATGATATTTATGTTTTACATAAACGAAGTACATTATATTCCATTATATGGTGTACTTGTTACTTTTTTAACAATGCCTACAAAAAATTTTATAACGCTAATATGAACCGTGCAACGCACTAGTGTTAAACTAGTTTTTTTGTTTAAATTAGGGGTGAGCATGGTACGGTATTTAGCTCGTACTGATACCATACCAAATATTTCGGTGCGGTATGAAATTTTACTTCGTACCGATCATGATCCCGAAATATCGGTTTGATATGGTTCGGGATGGTTCAGTTTTGGTTTCGGTACAAATCGTGATGAATACACATACCTACTTTATATCTCAAAATTTAACAATGCCCCTTTATTTTTGAAAATTAAAAGTGAATTTAAATAAAAAAACATAAAAAATTTAAAAAAATTAATATTTAAATGCAAGAGATGCGTATCAAAACTTAGTTTATATTTCACAAACTAAAAAAATGAACGACAACAAAGGAGTATTTCGAATCTTTCTGAATATTTTAATGTTCACACACAAAAACTAAAACCTAAATAAGAGTATAATTTACACATAATAGAACTTGAACCATTTTTTTAAAAAATTATTATTTAGTGAAGGAATATAAAAATATTATACCGGGGTATTATTTTTTTATAATATTTTAATATATATTTTCGGTTCGGGATTTTCGGTATGGGACGTCACATCGTACCGTTCTCAAATGCCGTACCGACCATTCGGTTCGGTATTCTCGGTTTTTTGGGAAATTTTGGTTTCGGTTCGATACTTACTCACCCCTAGTTTAAGAAGGGTGTATTCAATTGAGATTCTATTGGATTTTCTTAGATTCTCAAAATCTGGGAGTATTCAATTTAAATTTTTAAAAGTCTTTAAAAATCCTTAAGTATTCAATAAGGATTTTAAATAATCTTAAAAAATCTTTAGATATTCACTCCATGTATTTTGTTGGATTCTATCCCAAAGACATGCTTACCAAAATCTTTTCTCACAATGAAAGATTTCTAAGGACTTTTCCGGATGCCCTTCCGGCCTGCACTGGCGAAAAAATCTTACGTGAACAGAGGCAATACTGCAAATCTGCAATTCCTCCGTCTAGATCCTTGGGTTATTGAGGTTCCCTACAAAATCCCTGAAACCCAATCCAATAGGCTGATGATGTGGGCAAAGGCACTGCGGTTGTAGTGGGGGGTAGCTTCGGCAATTCTTCCGTCGCGATTCTCCAATTGCAAGAAGCATTTTATACTTTTATCTAGTTCCTTTCTCAACACAATCCCTCTGTTCATGGCCGACAAATATTTCATCTAAGGTCAATTTTGTATGTGAAAATCCACTTAAATCAATAAAAAAAATTCATGTTAAGTCTCTAGAAATCCATGTAAATCAATAAAAAAGTCGGCCAAACTCTACATAGAGTCTAGATTTTTTAAATCCATCAACTTTTTAAAATGCAAAAAAATCTAATAGAATCTCAATTGAGTACACCCTTCTAAATATGTACCAAAAGGTTACAATGTAAGAGGGTGCCATTTTTTACATGTAATAATAATTAAGTGGTAGTTTAGTAACAACAAAGAAAAATGGTACCATTTTTGACAAAATATAGGAAAAATTACCCAAAATAATCTCAACTTTACCCGGTCTTTCAAAAATAATCCCACCTTTCACTGTGATGCATAATAATCCCAACTTTACTGAAATTTGTCCGTTTTGGGTTGCCGTTAAATTTCTAACGGAGGGTTAACGGAAATGTCTGTTTTAGGCAACAAAATGAAAGTTGGGATTATTTTTGATGAATTTTCATTTTTTTTATTTTTTTAAATTTTTCATTTAAATTTTTTAAATTACTTTCTACCCCCATCATCATTTCTTTTTTCTTTTTTAAAGATTAGTCTTAGTTTAAAAAATAAAAATAATAGATATAAAAAATGAGAAATGTAACTAAAATGGTACAAGAATAATAAAATAAATAAGGTAATCAATGGAAACTAACTTGAAATTGGTAAAAGTAAAATAAAAATATACGGGTGGGTTTTAATATTTTACGCATTATATAAAGTATTAACATATCACTTCTTATTTTTTAGAAAAAATTATCTACAATAATTCCAACTTTACCGGACGGCTTGTGCTTTTAAAAAATAAGTAGTACATTAAGACTCCGTATAGTGTGTAAAATGTTAAAACCCACCACTCCGTATATACTTATTTTATTTCTTACCAGTTTCTGTTTAATTTCTAATGATTACATTATTTATTTGACTAATTTTGTATGGTTTTAGTTATTTTTCTCATTTTCATTATTTTTTATATCTATTTTTTTCAAAGGTAAGAATAATCTTTAAAAAAGAAAAAGAAATGGAGGTTGAAAGTAATTCAAAAAATTTAAATAAAAATTTCAAAAAAAATTAGAAAACAAAAATTCATCAAAAATAATCTCTACTTTCATTTTGTTGCCTAAAACGGGCATTTCCGTTAACCCTCCGTTAGAAATTTAACGGCGATCCAAAATTGGCAAATTTCAGTAAAGTTGGGATTATTATGCATTACAGTGAAAAGTGTGATTATTTTTGAAAGACCTGGTAAAGTTGGAATTATTTTGGGTAATTTTCCCAAAATATAATACTCCATAGTTTAGTGACATTTTTAAAGTGTACTAGTTTAAAACATACCGAATCTCTCCCCTAGAATCAAGATTTTTTTTTTGAAAAAACAGGAATTTCTGGTTGGGAAACCACCCTAAAATTTACTCCTTCACTCTTTTCCGCTATCCATCTTCGCTGTACTATATCGGCAAAAATGCTAAGAGCTGCAACATATGTATCTTCTCATTTTCCGGCCGTTACCACTCCGGCGACTTTACTGGCTTTATCCGCTGCCAGACTCTCCGTCCGTTCCACTCTCAGCCTAGCAGTTGCAGGAGCATCCTCCTTGCACTGTGCAGTAAGCCGCCGATTCCCCGTGCTCCCGAGGATCAGCTTCTCACCCATTCCGCACCGCCGGACCTGTTATAATGCCTTCAGTGGTTCGCCTCTTAGTTCCTTCCTGTAATTGTTGTGCTATCTGTATATATACACTTCCATTGTTGATATATTATTGTTACTTCCAGTTCACAATGATTTTCCCCCCTTTATGAAAGTCCACCTTTTTCAGTTAACAGGTCTTAAGGTTCCTGCAATTGGAGGTAGTATAGTACTTTCATTCCGTCCCTGTGTATTTGTTAGTTTACTTTTTCCACTATATGAACTTTGTTCATTAACTAAAAAAAACTACATTACATGTTAATGCAAAGAAATGTTTTTTTTGAGAGTTTTCTCTAAAGATAGATATGATGAACTGTTTTATATGCAATGCAGTTTTAATTTAATTGATATATCAATGTTTACCCAGTTTGAATGAAAAATGTTAAACTGAAAGAATGGATGAGATAATATAATTAAAGATTTATAAGGGCTCCCTCAACAGTGTGGCACTTAGACTTGGATTAAACCACACTTGGACTTGGACAAGAACTTCAATTTTTCCTATGCAGTATGTTATGCCCTTTTTCTTGCACTCTTTGCGGGATGAATACATTAGAGTTTTCTATTAAGATATAATCATTGAAACAATAGGGCTTTGAAACAGTAGGGTCTAGCCCATTAAATTTAGGATCTATTATTTGCTTATTTAAGAAGTCTACTAGTCATTAGAAACACTCAAATTTAGTGATGAGCTGGTGCCTAGAGCGATTTTAAATAAATTATGTCAAAAATGAAGGTAGTTATGCATTTTCTATCGCCTAGGTGCCTCTAGGCCGATTTTGCAACGATGACAGGAAAAAAAGTGTCTGTATACCCTTTGACTCTTGGTCATGCTTTGAAGGTCGTCAATGTTCCCATTAGGTCCAACTTTGTATTTTGTGTAATCCTAGCATATAAATATGCTCATTTGTCATGAGATAGATGAAGTATTGAGTGTTACTCCTGATCATTGAGTGGTTCCAAAACTTGTGAGATATCTAAATTATTTCCTGTCAAGTTCTTACACAGGAAAATCATTCTTGTGCTGCCAAGGTGCGGAAGCAAAGCTCCTTGTTTTGGGAAATGTAGGACCTAGCTATCAACTTGTGTCAATTACCAGTTTACCACGACAAGTTGTTTAGGGGTCACATCAATGGTTCTTCATTCATATCTTAGTCTTGACAGAACACATTTCAACAATATTTTGCTCAACACCTCAACAAATACATACCAACACCATCTCTAAACTCTTTGTTTGCTATAATACCAATTTGTACTTTCAACACCTTAAAAGTAATATGTTTAGGTTTGGATGTTATTGCGGCCGAGGATTGGGATAGAAGAATAAGATGGTGTTTAGGTTTTATCTATCTGGTTTGAGAGGCTGGGCTAGCCTTTCCATCTTTTTTGAGTGTGTTGTGAAGTTTGAAAGGAATGCATTGTTTATTTTTATATGCACTTGGATCTGCTGCTTCATTGTCCGCGCATCTCGTTACTCGCTAGCTTTTATTTATTTGCATACTGATAGATTTAAGAGTATTTGGTGAAATATAATTGTATATTTCTGAATGAATGAAATAGAAGACAATGCAATCTTTATAGGAACCCACAGGTTGGGAACTCTAAGGCCAAAAGGAAACAAAACTATACACGGGAACATATCAAAATAGGAAACGTAGATCCTCTACAATTACTACCATATGTGCAATAGTATAATAACAGTAATAATAGGATTCCTGGATTCCTTTCCTTAACACATACTTTGTGGGCAACTCATTTTGATTATATTCCTTTTGAGCTGAGGTTCTATTGGGAACAACCTCTCTCCCCTTCACAGGTGGAGGTATGGTCACCGTACATCCTCTCTCAGTCTCTCCCATTGACTGGGTTCATTGTTTTTGTTGTAACACTTTAAAAGTAATGACTCTTCACTATGATATCTAATAAGTGTTCTTGTGTAATTTTCTCCTACACAATTGTGAAACTTCTATGTGAAATTATACATATGAAATCATTTTAAAGGGGTGTTTAATCAACAAGTCTTATAAATAGGTGATGAAACATTATAAATTTCTTGTCAGCTACATTCAATGCTGGAAGTAGTTCAGGAGAAAACAGGGAAATATTAGTCCAACATTTGCTTGTGAAAGAAGATGACCAAAGGCTCTTGCTAGATCTTCTGAAGAGAATTGCAAAAGGTTTGTCTTCTTGCATTTCTTTTGACTATTGAGTAAATCATTCTTAAGTTTCATCTGTATTTGAGAAACTTGAGTTGTACTTCTATGCTTGGTATACGAACCCTCTTTACGAGATCCAATCCATTTCTTTTTGCTTGTCCTGGCAAGTATTTCTGATGTATTTAGTATATGCAGGCGAGGATCTTAGCAACCTGGCTGTGGAATATTCCATTTGCCCATCAAAAGAAAAAGGGGGGATGCTTGGTTGGGTGAGGAAGGGGCAAATGGTATGTTGCACTTAGTACTTGGCTATTTTGATTGTTGGTAACTTCTTTTTAAAATTGCCAATGTGGTTAATGAAACCAAATGTAATGAAGTTCTTGCTTTAGCTTTCGGTACTCAGTGTAATTACTAATGTGAATCCAACTTGACCTGCTGTTAGACCAGTCTGTTTAATACATTCTTGTTTGATTCAATGAGAGGATTATACAGACAAAAGTGTGAAAAGGTTTTAGGCGTGCTTCAACCAGTTCCTCAAGCCCGACAGTGGAGATCTTGGGTATTGAAAATTGACACGACTCCACAAGAATCTAATTTGACATTACCAAACTAATTCTTGATGACCCTTGTTTTTGATAGAAGTTAGAACCGTATATCAGTATTCAATAAGCACATATGCTTAAGTAGGGGGAATGACATTCAAGCATATTCGAACCTATGTGTTACATGGCATTCCTTTTAGACAGAGGCCTCCGCTGTGTAAGAGGCCTTACCTATGACCCTTCATTCTTCATTGATGTCTTATTACAAATGAAGGGCTATATCTATAGCCTCTAACATACATGTTTCATATAGCTCAAGAGGAACGGACATTTCTATCAAATCCTCTATCAAACATAAGCGTCCAAAATCATGAATAGTAGTTTATCTTAATGAACACTAGCTTCCAAAGCATTTCTTATCTCATTATACTCCATCCACCACTTAGCTTGAGAATAATCACCCATACCTTTATATTTATCATGTGTGAAGTATGTGTATCTTCCATGTTGTACATACCATACATCATAATCCCGACAAAGAGCTAAAGTCCAAAAGAGATTTAATCAATAAAGGTGCTCCATCCATCCTTCTAATATGTATTTTTGGCCAAGTATAATTTTGAACTCAAGAAGACTTCCATTTGCTTTAATTCCATACAATGAAAGCCAAGGCAATCTTCTCACTTCTTTCCATTTAAGAGTTTCAGTTTTTCTATTAAGTATGCCATCAATAACAAGGTTGTCCGGCAAATCATTAACAAATCCATCATTAACAATTTCACTTGAAAGTTGAAACTCTATATCTATAGGTGCCAGAGTTTGAGGAAGCTGCATTTCATGCACCCATTAACAAGGTTGTCCGGTGCAAAACACAGTTTGGGTGGCATTTGTTGCAGGTTCTATCCGAGAGGTTATTTTACGAAACATGCCTTCAATCAATATTCATGCATTAAGTATTTCTAGGTTTTTACATTTTTCAAATGCATCATGTCCAGGGAAAAATCTATTCTTGAACACATCCAGCCAGATGAGCTTTACATGAAACTGCAAGATCCCACTTTCATGGAAGATGCTCAATTGATTGATGTTCGGGAACCAGAAGAAGTGTATCAACTCATTACTCACTTTATTATTTCAGTGTGATTCTTAATGGATGCTACTTTATTTTTTGTATTTAGAATGTCAGAAGTGACTGTTGATAGTAGCAATAAAAGAAATATTCTAGTGACCTTGTTTCAAAGTTCTCTCGAAAGATTCATTATTTGTTGAAAAGTGCCTTCTAAATAGGTTCGCATGAAAGTATGAATTTGATCAAGACTTTGCACAATTGAGTTAGAGTGACCTTTTTTTCCTAACTTCATCAACCCCTCCACCCCACATGCCTGGATTGTTATATAGAGGAACGGAGGAAGTAGAGGAAATGTGAAGTACTATACAAATATTTTTCAAACCATCATCATTTCCTTATGTTTTTATTTTTCATTGCACAGAGCCCAAGCACATCTTCCAGGCTTTCAGGTTCTTCCACTTCGCCAGTTTGGAAATTGGGGACCAGAAATTACGACTAAGTTTGATCCTCAGAAGGATACTTATGTTCTGGTTTGTACACATTCCTTTCTAAAACATATAATTGTTCTTTTGCCTATGTCGTTGCCTAGTGACAGATTATTGTGTGGAGGCATTGACGGTATCTATGCATAATTAGATATATCTTGATAATTGAAAAATTGTTTTCCATCTCATTTCCTATTCTTTTCCCTTTCAAATTCCTTGAACCAAACATAGTGTTAGACTTCTTTACACCTTTGGACTCCATGACCCTTCATTTACAGAATATATGAAGAGGTGAATAATATGTTTGCTAGCAGCCTGCTAATACTCCTCGTCATGGGCAGTTGATCTAAGGGGAAAGAACTCTGACCTATGTGATAAGAGAACAACTCATGCACACCATAACAGAGAGTTGAATCTGGAAGGAAAAAATAAATAACCTTTAATTCTTTACTCCATAATAATTATAATAGATAAAATTACCTACTTATATAGAGGCTGAATTCCTAAGTTCAAAAGGAAACATAATTATAGAAACTAGATACTAGTAGGAAACTACAACTAATACTTCCTCTATCCCAAAAAGATTTCATGTTAACTATTGACAGGTCTATTTTTCACCACTTTCTTATTTTCTATACTAGTATACTCATTTGATAAAACAATATAGTTTTATCATCTGTTGTTTTTTTGAACTTTGGATGTAGTTTGTAAATATATGAACTATATGTTTTAAACTTATAACATTTTCAAATAAATTGAGTTGAAAATAATTGTTGTCAAACATCGTAACCCGCAACAAGAAAGTCTTCTTGCAACATAGGAACTACTAATAAGAAACTGCCACTACTATTAATAGTAAATTACTGATAATAACAATAGTCTTTATAAAGATAATGCCTGATGATGATGATAATAATAACAATAACAATAACAACAACAACAACAACAACAATAATAATAATGTTGATCGCATCATAAAATATATTTATTCATTATATATTTCAACAGCACCTACTCATCTGTGACAGAACTACTTTTGTTATTGCATGACAACTCAATGAAATCTGAAATAGAAATGAGCCACCTAATCTGCAGATCCTTACAAATGCAACACCTAAATCTAATGATGCATGCTACACTCTCTATACAGAAATGATAATATATTCAATACGTGGCAGTGACTTTCTGGTTCAAAAATACAAGTCTTCCTGATAAACAGATACCAAGTTTATCTCACTGCTCAAACCAATGTAGGTTTAAAAAGATACAAACCAGAATTTAGACCGTGTAAAAAGTTCGCATAATCCTTGAGGATGTGGTAATACACGTGAGACACGCTAAATTCCCTGTCAAAGTGATGGAGATAATTCCAAATAGTCTTGTCGAAGCCGAGATTTCACATCTTTTGAGCCACGAAACACGGTTTCCAATTTGACATCATTTCATTTTCTTCTGGCATTGTAGTTCATGTTTCTTAATCAAAAAACTTGTTACAACCAATTCCTCTCTTTCGTGCAGTGTCACCATGGCATGCGGTCTTTGCAAGTGGCCAATTGGTTGCAGACACAGGTGAATGATCCAATAGTTCTTTTTAATGATACAATAGTTTGTTGTCGTTTGTGAAACCTTTTTGTTTGCATTAGACATGCTACCTTATTCCCATTTTGTTAGATCTACTTTGAATTTTACCCTCTCAAAATAACCTTTACTTTTCTCATTTTATCCTTACATCTATTCCTTTCAGTTTTTCATTACGATGGGGGAGGGGGGGGCATTCTTTTCTTATAGATGAATACTTCAGCAAACACGATAATGAGTAGTTAAATGCATAGTTTTCTTGTTCAATTTGATGCATGTTTTCTACAGAGTACTCCCCATCCACCCCTCCAATGTTGAAATGGCACCATCTATATCCAATTTTGTTTTTGTGCTATTTACATCCACCTAGAATGTTTACAACAGTGCTTTCTAACCATAATCATGCTCCATTCACACCCATTTGAAAGTATTTACACTAGAAATGTTAGATCAATGAAACAACCAATTGTAGGACTACATTTGGGTAAATGAGTGAAGATTTGTTTAAAAAATATGCATCATTTAAGAATCAAATCCTTGACTTTTAATATCTAAATTGCACACGCACTGATTGTTAAGTTGTTAACACACGTGCATTTTTTAAATTTTCTCTCTGTCCCAAAAAAAAGAATTTGCACTTTTCTTTTTTCTCCATCCTAAAATAAACCTTACATATCTCCCATTTAACTACTCATCAATTTTCTCTCTTCTAACGAATTCCAACCACACTTTGTAACTGTTAACACTTTTTTTAACCCTGTAAAGTGAAAGTGTAAACTTCTTTTGAAGGTTTAATAGTTAAAGATATACACAACACTACAAAGATATTATAGAAAGTAAGAACCTGTTGCATTGCTTCATTTACATCCCAAAGCATCATAGAAAGTAAGAAGCAAGAAAATTTTAACATGTCGTTTTGATTTCGTGCATTAATTATGTAAAATTAAAGCAGTCTCAATAATTACTCTTTTATGTCTACTGGAAATGCAGGTGTATCATATGTACACACACACCCACGTAGTCTTTAACTATTAGTCGTACGTGGGGATCCTTTCGTGGGTCCTTCTATGGTTCTTTTGTTGTGCTTTGAGTTTCTCTTCCATATCTGCTTCGATGTATCCATGTGGGCCAAAAGGGTTTTCTTACTAAGTATATATATCGTAGAAAACTTTTTGAAACCTGTATCAATATATCCATGTTCGTTTTCAATCATTTTTCTTCTTCATGGGAAATTTCAATCTTTAATGGAAAATAACTGTTTTCTAGCGTGTTCTTAAAGTACTATGGACAGTGCATGAGCAGAGTATAATACTGTAAATCATATGTATTGCCCACTCCATTTCTTTCTCTCTGTGCATTAATTATGGCAAATGCTAACAAGCGACCTAAGGGCATGATTTGTTTTGGGGATGCAAAACAACATGAACTAAAATAAGTACCTAAAAAGTGAACTTAACTATGATTTGTACTGACAATTACTATGTTAAGAGGAAAAAATTCAAGTCAATTATTTTAAGGTGATGCAGATGATATGGCAACCAACCATTTTGGATTAAACCTGACAATTTCTATGTTTCTCAGGGGTTTAGGAGAGTGTTTAATGTTGCTGGAGGAATTCATGAGTATGCTTTGAAGGTGGATCAATCAATCCCAACTTACTGAGGCTGGCTTTTTCTCCACACCTATGTTTTTTTTAGGTTTCGTTATTGGGGGGNTTATTCTGGGCTTTGTTGTTGTAGAAAAGTTCATTTTGCCGAAATAATGTGGAAAATGGACAAGATTCTATCCTACAAACTGTAGGTACAAAAACACTTGGAGCATCTCCAAGCAAAAAAATTGAGATTCTATATCCTTGTATCAGCATTTCTACAGTGATTTAGAGGTTAATTTATTTCAATCAATTCCAATGGCAAATGCTAAAATTGAGTTGTTAAATATGGCAACTGCAATGTAATTTGTAAATTAATCATTTGATAATATAAAATATTATTGCCTCATATTTGGAGCAAATTTCACTAGTATGAACTTTGAACTTTTTTCAACTAAGTATTTACAGTTCATTAAAAAAGCACTCAAAATTGGAGTAAAACATACTCCGTACTCATTATCCCAAAATAGAACTGACGTGTTTTTATTCTCGAAATAGAAATTTTTAATTTGACAATGTGATACGATATATTGACATTTCACATTGTTTTTCGATATAATATGTTAACATTATTGAAATTGTAACTCGTATTTCAGAATTAAAAATATGAAGTTTCTATTTTTGTACTTTCTCGATGTATTTCTAGTTCAGTCTTTTACCTAATTTCATTTTTTATCAAAAAAATACGTGGACTATACGTACCTAATTTACACTTTCAAATGTAATAAAACTCTTTATTTTTGAAAAAATAAAGGTACGTTTAAATAAAGATTCATAAAAAACAAAAAATGAACAATTAAATGCAAGGAATGTTTATTAAACTTAGTTTGTTTTCACAAAGTAAAAAAAATGAATGATATCAAAATAGTATTTCAAATGCGCGTTAGTACTTTTAGTACTCCCTCCGTCCCAAATTATAATGCATGTTTACTATTCACAGGGTCAAACTTCATTCACTTTCTTTCTCTATTTTCGTTAGCAATTTGATAAAATAAAATATTATTGTCACTACTAGTTTTGTAGATCTTTTGATGTAGTTTTTTAATATGTAATTTTTATTTTTTAATTCTATACCATTTGTCATATAAAATGGTTTGAAAAAAATTTCAGTCAAACATCGTAAACCGAAACAGGCATTATAAAATGGGACGGAGGTAGTATTTCAAATACATAAAATAATTAGAGCATATTCTTTAGGGCTTAAACTCTTAATTTCCAGTTTTTTTAGTTCATTTCAGTTCCATCCAATTTATTTCAACTATTCTCATTTTGTTCAAAGTCTTTCTCCTCACTAACCAATTACTCTAAAACTGATATATTTTTAATCTGATTTTTATTATTATTAAAACTATTATTTTCATAACTATAGTTTATAAATTACTTTTTTCATCTCACTATTTTTAACAATTCACACTCATTATTATTTTTTCTTCAACTTTTTAGTACAAATAAGAAATGTTTTTGTATGTTAATCTACATGATAAAATAGGAAAACATCAATATTTTAAACTATATTAAAGATTATGGATAAAATAGTTACATAGAATGTTCAATTAATCTAACTTTATATAAGACCCCTCACCTTTCCCTTTATTACTCAATTTTCTCATTTTTATTTATCTCAAAATTAATTTTTTTTCATATTTCTAATTTTTATAAAAAAATTCAAAATTCAAAATAGTTTAGAGAAAAAGACTAAAATTGGAGTAAAACATAAGAAAACAATATACAAAAATAAAAGTTCTTTGTCTTTATTTCAAACATAGGACTTACCATGAAAACAAAATGTCAATCATGAAAGAAAAAATAAGTTTAATTATATTATGTTACATGCCTGATATTTAAAACAAAATCTTATACTACGGTAATATATAAAGTATAATAAAAAAATATTATTTATAATAAATACAGCATAAATAAATTGAACTGCAACGTAATAACCACAATAACTTTTTAATATTTAACATTTTGATATTTAGGATAACGTTATATTATAATTATTTTTTTACAAAAGTAATTTTTTGTATGAAAAATAACAATAATTTTTTATCTTAAAGACATTAATTAAGATAATGTGATAAATAATAATAATAATAATAATAATAATAATAATAATTGTTAGAATGTCATCCCACATCGGAAGTTCAAGAGCAAAATAATCGGTATATAAGCTCTTGAGTTGAACTAACTAATAGATTGGATTCAATCTTTTAATGTGGTTCAACCCAAGTGTCTTATTACCAATCCAGTTGTCTCCATATCCATCCTAAATTTTATCATGGTATCAGAGTAGGTTTTGGCCCACCTCGTTTGTCAAGGTGCCCGTCTAGACGTTCATTCCTAGCGGCCCGTTAGTCTTTAGCCCAGTTGTCCGTATGGAGTATGTAACCAACAGTCTGTGGCCCGTTTAACATGATTGCTCGTCTGGAAGTCCATACCCAGCGGCTCGTGGTCCTTTAGGTGTTGGCGCTAAAAAAAAGTTCAAAGGAATGGGAGTTTATTTGCAAGTGGTCAACCGGTTAGATTCAAAATGGCCCGGTTGTCCACTTGAGAGGGAGTGTTAGAGTGTCATTCCACATCGGAAGTTCAAGAGCAAAATAATTATCGGTATATAAGCTTTTGAGTTGAACTAACTAATAGATTAGATTCAATCTTTTATTGTGGTTCAACCTAAGTGTCTTATTACTCAATCCAGTTGTCTTCATACTCATCCTAAATTTTATCAATAATAATAATAATAATAATAATTTATAACAACAAGAATTAGAATGAGAATAATATTAAAATGCACTTAAATGAATTTTCTAAAAGTTTTTTTAGGTTTTCCAATTTTTTAAAGGGTTTCGAGTTGTTTCCAGTTCCTTCTAGTTCTTCCAGTTCCTTTCAGTTTCTTCGAGTTCATTCCAGTTTCTTCCAACAATCAGCTCTTTTTTTCCAGTCCTAAAAACCGGCTCTGAATCTATTATACAACTTGATTATTAGGGTGGACGTATAATTGTTTACTCGGTACGGAGAATTATTTAAACTTTTCTTTCATTTTAAAAGGAAGAGTCGCGAAGAAAAATTATGGAATATTTTTCTTCCGTATTGTGTTTTTATAAAAGAAACAATCTTCAATATGAGTAAAACATAGAGAAAATACAAGAATATGAGTTCTATATTTTTTTGCAAAATAGAAGTTCGCACTTTGATAATTTGACGCTGTATATAGATATTTGACAATACTTTTTGGTAATATATATGATCATGATTGACATTGTATATACATTTGAATTTCTATTTCGAGAATAAAAATGAGAACTCATATAAATGTAAATCTTCTCATATATTTCAATGTTTTATTCCTACTTTAGTTCTTTTTTCTCTTTTTATAATTCTAAGGCCCACATATAAATGTAAATCTTCTCATATATTTTTCATGACTTAAATGCGGCCCTTTCCTTATTTTTCTTCACCTTCCAAAACAGAATATATCAACTCTTTTACTCCCACCTTGGCTTGATTTGAACCCACCCCTTACCTTCTTTAATTATACCCCCAAATTTAGTTAACTTCAGGTTTAAATTTTTAAATTTCAAAGGTCAACAAAATTTGAATGATGTAATTGAGAGGCAAGAATGTGGTTTAAACCGGGCCGAAGTGAAGAGATTTATTAGGAAATTAAGAGTCAGAACTATTATTTTTTCGAAGATTGTATCATAACATCTCAATTGGAGAGTATCACAATATGACCCTCAAAATGAGTGTCAATCCGCCTTTATTTTGTTTCTCCCAAGCAGGGGTTATGGTTCAAAACCTCATTAAACACCAAAAAAAATTACTTCGTATAATTTAAATTGACTTTCTAGAAACTACAGAGTAAGAGAAGTCTACATACATCATTATTCCAAAGACACTAAAACGAGAGTCCCGGCCTCCCAAATTTTTATTTTTTTGCATTAATTTTTATTTTATTATAAAGTTTGACCATTATTGAACACAGAGTATAACATAAAGACACTAAAAATTATACTTTGTTAGATAAAATAATATTTTAAAAATATTTTTAAAAAAATCTAATAAAATTATTTTTATATCAATATCTAATATCAATATTATTTCAATAATGGTCAAACTTTATTACTACCCCCGTCCCATTTTAAATTGCCTGTTTGCCTTTTTTCTCCGTCCCAAAATAAGTTGTCTGTTACTTGTTTTCGTAAACTTTTAAAAATAAAATACCTAAACTACCTCTAAAATAAGTCAATCTTCTCCACATTATATTCTCATTCATCATCATCTCTCCTAAAAAGTATTGACAATTTCGAAAAATCAACTCTATTTTTAATTTTCCTTAAATATGCCCAAAAGTCAAAACGGGTGATTTAAAACGGGATGGAGGGAGTATTTTTTAGTGCAAAAAAAATAAAAATAAAAATTGGACAAATACTTAATGACGAACAAAGTATATATTCCATTTGTGGACCTTTATATTTGAAAATCATTCTAGAACCAGTTTTTTGACCAAAATATTATTTTTCACATATATAGCACACAAAAACTGATCTTGAAATAGTTTTTCAAATATCAAGGACCACGAATGTAATATCTAAAAAAACGAAAACTATATATGAAAGACACCATTTATAAATGACTACTTCTGAAAATTACTAAAAAAATTAGGAAAAAGTTTGCCGATGTAAATAATAAACAATGAAAATTGAGATGGAGAGAGAATACACATATATGACGTCATTTCCCACATAAAAGCAGATATTCAGGACAAAGTACAGTCAAATTCCTCCCTACAGTTCCTGAACATTACAACAAAGTAGGCACACAAAAGTGAAATGTTAAGCTCCAAACAGGTCTGTAAATATCTACTAAGGAAAACTAAAAATCTAAAGAGCATAGGACTTCAAACTTTCTTTCTTTCTACACTTGTTTCTCTTTACTGCTATTTTTGTTTTTTCGGACATCACCTTTGTGAGCAATTATAATAGTGTGTTCATTATGGGGCATCACCTTTTCGAACATCATGATTTAGAGTATGTACATGCTAAGTATACAAGCTAACTTCAAGCATGAGATGATTGTTCCGGCATCTTTGCACGGGCAAAGAATATTCCAGCCAGTAGACCTGCAAGAGTCAAACCAAAATTTGAATGAATTTTACAGCTTAAGTAGAACACGCTTTCTTTGGTTTGAGAAATGTCGATGGTGCTGATAAGGAGGAAGATGAAGCTGACCGAAGAAAATACTAGCGGAATTCTCCTGGCTCGTGGGCACGTTGAAAAGAAGGATTCCGGCCACAGATAAAGGCATCTTGTTTAGTGATCCCACTAAGCTGCAAGAACCAAAAATGAAAAACATGTCATAATCAACAAAAAAATGTGAAAATATGTCATAAACCATAATCATATATCACTTTTATAGACCTGGAAACTAGTATATATCCATCCTTGTCTCCCTCCTGGACACATATATAGTTATATACTTTGATTACAGATTCGATCTAAACCTAGCAGGCTTAGGATATGTTTGGGAGGGCATTCTGGAGAGAAGGGGACAAGAGTTGTTAAATTTCATTTTTAAGAATATATTGCTTTCAAAATAGAAAATATTACCTTAAATTGATGGTTTTCAAAAAAAAAACGAAAAGAAAGGATATAGTGATATACTCCGGGTAATTGAGATGATAAATCACTATTCCTTCCATCCCAAAAAAGGACGCAAGTTTGAGCGTTTGTATTACTGATTTCTGTCTAACAAACATGGCTCTTTTGCATGGAAGGATGGAGAAATGGAGTACATGCTTTAATCATTTATTGGTTACTAACAATATATATTCTTGAAGCATTGGCTCTATTGTGTTTTGAGCCTCTCTTGGAAACAACTTCTGTACTTTCTAGGTGGGGGTAAAATTTGCATACACCCACCCTCCCCAAACCCCAAATTGTGGAACTTTACTAGGCTCGTGTTTATTTTTTTAAAAAGTATCCCCCCCCCCCGCTACACAAACACCAACACCACAATAATACTCCATCCATCCCAAATTCATCTTCACACTATCCTTTTTTAGACAACTCAAAATAATGTTCCCATTCATTGGGATGAAAATTTGTGTGTCAAAGAACCAACTCAACCACAAGCTCAAGCTTTTTGTGGTCCAGGAAAGGTAGCGGGTGAGGGAGAGGGAGGGTCAATCTTCAACCACAACCACAACCACAAATAATGGATGGAGGGTCCACAACCACAAGCTCAAGCTTCAAGAGTGATGGATGGGTAGCGGGTGAGGGAGAGGGAAGGTATTTTAGGAAAGGCAATGTAATTTTCAAACCGGGAAGAAAAATAATGGACAGAGGGAGTATAACATTTTCCAAGACAGATATTAGATCCAAAGTTAAGCTCCAAAATTGATCCCTAATTAAGAGGGGTTTGATATTTAGGCATTACCTGTAAGTGGTAGCACCTGTTTGGTGAAGAAACCACATTGATGTAATGCTAATTGCCAAGCCCAAAAGTCCACTTAAGGTTATCACCAGCCAAAACATAGGCAAATGTAAGATTGGCCTGTCATCGAGATACAAAGAATAGTTCATTTATAATCATATCGTTACGACATAGCTTCCCTTTTTATTTACCCAGGACTAGAAATATTCTCCCACTTTTTCACAATTACTGTATTATACAAAAAATATCCTTAAATAATACCCCATTTGGAAAATTAGAAAACACTTAAATGGAGAACTGAGATGAATATAGACAAAACAGAAACTCTGTATTAAACAGACTTATTTTAGCACGACGACAGCTATTATGGAACACAAATTTTCAACCAACATGTCAATTATTGTGAAATGGAGGGAGTAGAAAGCTAATAATGCCACATCGCTTATATAAGCTCAACTAAAAAGTTAGAGCAAAACTCACGTGCTAAAGAGATAGTCCACCTCATTGAACAAAATGACAAGCACAATGCCTAAGGGAAGTGATAGAGTGTTATTTAGCAAGACCATTGAGAATTCATTCAGATTTCCTGATTCTGTGACTTGTTTGGCAGTATCCATATTCCTACGCAAAGTTAACTGCACCATGCGAACCGATTATGACTGAACATTATTTTCCCTTGTATAACAAAGAGAGCATACAAGGAAAAGATTATGCAACACTGCAAGGGATATGGTAAAAGCATTTAACAGATTGTAGCAAGGATTGTAGGACTCTTCAATCAAAACGTGGGTAAAAAATCTCATCAAAATATAAGCTTACGAATATGCTCTCCTAGTGAAATTGGACAATCAAGTGAAATTGTGGCTAGTTTCAATCAACAATCCAGTGAAAACTGGGGTCTGGGGCTTACCTCTATCCAAAGGGTAGAGAGGCTACCGTTGGAGTTGTGCCCTAGTGGTCAATCATTTTATGATTGTATTATCATGGATAAAGGCTAATGTAATAAGTTTACATCTCATGCTATTGTAAACACTTATTACATTCCTAGAATATTTTTCAAAGATGTTCATAAAATTGGTATTCAGAGGATGAGAACACCTTGATACGAATGTATTTCTAAACGGTCCATAGTCGAGTATAAACGAGATCAGGATATCGTTAATGCAATTGATACTAGCGTGTGTTAGATGTTTGAATGTGTCTCATGGTCAATGACGGAGTATTCGCATCTACATATGAGCACATATTATTGGCGGATAGAAGGATGTCGGACGGACCCACCAAGAGGGTGCTTCATAGATGTTCTAAAGCATGCTACCTTTGTCCGGAAATGAATATTCTAGACACTATTCACACAGTCAAACTTTATTCACTATATTTGCTTATTTTCAGTACTCATTTCATAATATAAAATAATAATGCCACCTCTTGTTTTAAAGAACTTTTTATGTTATTTTTGAATTTTGCATCAACAATCAAATAAATTGAATTCAAACTAAAGTCGGTCAAACCTCGTAAACCAAAATAAGCAATTCAATTCTGGACGGAGGGCGTATAAGCGTTCTCATCACGACCCCGGGTGTAACTATCCTTTGACTTGGGTGTGTCGTGATGCATGTTTGGAGACGTAGATAATGTACATAGAACTTTTCACCCGTAATAGGTTAATAGGTTAATGTCTGTGTGACATAAATGGATTATTTGATCCTGAAACAATACAAGATTGTACCCCTTAACAATACAAGGTTGCACGCTCTATGCCTTGGGTTATGTTGAGACATTAGGCGAAAGGGATAATAATAAGTGCATATACGAATATATGTAAATTATAAAAAATTTAAGTAAATTATATATACATACATACATACATACATATATATATATATATATATATATATATATATAAATGAAATTATTATTTTATACTTAGTTCAACAAATGATATTATTATTTGATTTTGTATCAAGTTAATTATTTAATTATTGATTTCAATAAAATACATTTTGGGCTCTAAACTATTCCTTTTCGGTTCAATGCATTTTGAAATACATGACAATATGACATGGATTTCTATCCACTTTTAATATCATTTTTAAGTACTTTGTACTACACAATGACATCCATTTGTGGTGCTCCCTTCTCTTATACTTAGTGTGTTTTTAAATATAATGGATGTGTTTTGTGGGGAGATAGTGAGCATGTACTCTAGAGTAAATTCCCAAAATGGTTCTTTCTAATAAGGTGTTTTCTCAAATTAGTCCTCAATAAGTTCTAATTACCTACAGCACTTTATAATTGAGATTTATTCCCTAAGTAGTCTTTCGTAAAAAATGTCTCTTAAATCGTGATTAATCGGAAGATATTTTCGTATTTCCATTATCTAAACTTAAAGTAAATTCTCAAAATGGTCATTTTTATATAAATTCATGTAAAATTAAAACAATCATTAACATTACATAATCCACAAATTATAAAATCTATCAAAATATTTTAAAATTTGAATCAAATACACTTCCTTAATTAGATAGACCATTTTAGAAAAATAGTTCATTAGAAATGATAAATTTGAGAACTTACTCTAAATTTAGATGATAAAAAATACCAAAGTACCATCCACTTAATCGGCATCTAAGTGACATTTTTTACAAAGGACTACTTAGAGAATAAATCTCAATTATAAAGTACCATGTAAATAATTACAATTTATTGAGGACTAATTTGAAAAAAATCTTTTTAAGTATCATGATGGGGTTCTAAAACTATATATGAATTCTCCGTATTTGATTTTAAGGCAGCCAAGCTGGTGATTTTGTCCCTCGCGATTTAAGTTTTTCCTTTTGGGAGGAATTTTATTTTAAAATGAGAGGATATTATTTTCTGTTAGATATATTTTTTAAAGTATTAGAAATATTACACAAAATATTTTTATACGCAATATATTATATTAAAGATTACCCCTCTTAAATTGTTAATATAGGCCGGACACTTGAACTGCTATTTCAAACCAATCAAATAGAGACGCGCTGCTACAGTAGAAAGTTGTTGTAGGGACAACTTGGCCGAGACTTCTCTCTGGAGACGCGCTGCTACAGTAGCCCGCCACCATAGCCGAGTACATGTGACCTTCTTCATTGGGTTTCTCTCCAATTTGACTTCGGATTTGCATTCCCCATCTCCTGGCGAACATATCCATAGGAGGAATTGGTCATCCATCACCTCTGTGTGTTGCGGTAGGCATTGGCTTCTTCGACGCACTGTTCACCTTCTTCCTCATGACTGCTGGGCTGCCTTCTTGAACTTCCCCCTCTAGCCATGGGCTCTGGAAAAGCTCTAAGTGCTAAGAAGACCAAGAAGAAGAGCCCGAGGAAGAAGGACAAGGATGTGACAGTTAGCTTGGGTACGGATATTGCTGTGGACTCTATGGGGAAGGAGATAGCTCAAACATCTTCCTCCACTTCTGCAACCTCTCCACCTCATGTTGAAGAGGTTGAGGTTATGCCTGCTCAATTGAAGAAAGTTGCTCTGCCTGATCCCTCCCAGGTGTTTGATAAAATGCCTCAACCAGAAATGGTTGCTGAGAGTGTCAAACCGGTTACATTTGCTGACCTCTTCAAAGGGAACAGAGACCCTGATCAAGGTATGATCTTGAAGCATTATGAGGTGGGTGAAGGAGTACTTTACATCCCTGATGAGATTATTAAGCCTGTGGAGGATATTTGGGGCTTCTGCTTGGTGGGGTGTTTTACTGGTCGCTTCCCAGGGCTCAAGGCAGTGGATGCCATTGTCAAAAGCTGGGGTGTCCCTTGCAGAATTATCTCTCACTGCAAGGGCTGGGTAGTGCTCAAATTTGAAAATGACAGGGATAGGTATGAGGTGTTGGGTATGAAAACAAGCAAGGCATATGGCAAGGAATTTAGACTTAAGGTCCCCTCTCATGGATTTATGTTTGATTTTGCTGAGTTTACAACTCTCCCTGTTTGGATTCAACTGCATAATGTACCAATGCAAATGTGGTCAGAAGAGGGCATTGGGATGCTGGCTTCAAAGATTGGGAAACCACTGCGGACTAATTTGGTTACAAAACAATTGGGCAAGAGTGGGTTTTGTAGAGTCCTTGTTGAGGTAGACTTTTCAAAAGAGCTTGTGACTTCCTTTGAGGTGGCTTGTATGGGCAAACTGTATACCCAAACTGTGGAGTTTGAAGAAGATCCAAAGTATTGTTTCCATTGTAAAACATGGAACCATGGGCCTTTCTCTTGCAGAGCTTTGGAGCTGATGAAGAAGAAAGACCCTGTTGACTTGGAAGCTAGGAATACTTCCGAGAAGGTTAAGGCTAACAAACCTCCTACTGGTAAGGAATGGGTGGCAGCTGGCAGTAAATCAGGGGTCTACACTGAGCCTAGGGGAGGTCTCATTCCTTCTTCTTCAACTACCCCTCATGAACTTGGCAAGGAACAACCTACTGGAATTGGTAGTTTGACTCACGGGCCAAACATGAAAGGGGCTGGGGATGCTAATTTGGGTTTGAAAAAGAAGAAACCTGATGATGGTAACATGGTTGGGAAGAGACAGGATGCTAAGAAAGGAGGAAAGGGAACTGCCCCTCCCCCTAGATGAAGATCTTCTGCTGGAACATTAGAGGACTTAACAGGTCCTCTAAACAAAACTTTTTGTGTAAATACCTTTTTGAGCTTGGTGTCCATTTTGCCTGCATTCTTGAAACTAAAATTTCAGGAACCAAGTTGGATATGTTTGTGAATGCCAAACTTCCAGGATGGAAATATGCCACAAATTTTGAATTGTTTCCTGGTAGTCGTATGCTAGTTTTATGGAATCCCTCTTTTTTTGTCTGCGATGTGCTGGATGTTGGTGATCAATACATCCACTGTGCTGTCAGGTGCCTTACATCTCAGAAGGATTTTTGCTTATCATTCATATATGGTTTGTACACGGTCACTGTAAGGAGAACACTTTGGGATAAACTCTCTTCTTTTGCTGATAATATGACTAAGCTGTGGGCTCTGCTAGGGGACTTCAACTGTGTTTTAGCTTCCAATGAAAGGGTTAACTGTATGAGTCAGGGAGCTTACTTTATGACTGATTTGCATAACTTCAAAACCTTTAACTGCCTTGAGGATGTACCTTCTAAAGGCGTGTTTTATACTTGGCATAAAGGGAATAAGTTGGCCAAGCTTGATAGAGTCTTTATCAACCAACACTGGGCTGATATTGGTTGGGCTCCTATATGTGATTTTATGGACTTCAATCACATGTCTGATCATAGTCCTATGCTGCTCTGTTGTGGCTGTCCACCTGTTGGAAGGAGAAAATCATTCAAATTCTTCAACATGTGGACTAAACATGAAGATTTTCAAGGGTTGGTTTTCCAGTCATGGGGGCCTCGGGTCAATGGATCTAAACAATTCTCCCTTATGTTCTAAATTGAAACGGCTTAAATCACCCCTAAAGACTCTCAACAAGAATGCTTTTGGACACATTTCAAGAAGAGCTTTGGAGGCTAAAGAAGAATACAGACTCATTATGAAGGAGGTCATGGCAGACCCTAACAATCAGGCTTTGTTAGATGATGCTGAGGCCAAGAGGAAAAGAGCCAACTTCCTTTTAGATGCTGAGCTGGAGTTCTATCAACAAAAGGCTAAGTGTGATTTCCTTATGAACTCGGACAGATGTACTAGCTACTTTCATTCCCTTGTCAAGAAAAATAGGAAGAAACTTGTAATTCCTTATTTGAGTAAGGATGATGGAACTAAAACTACCTCTAGTGATGAGGTTGTTGGGTGCTTTCTTGAGTTCTACCAAAATCTGTTTGGTACCACCCCTTATGTGGGGCCTATTGATGAAGAGATTTTGGCAGCCGGAGCAACTGTCCCTGAATCTGCCCATTCCAGATTACTTGCTACTGTTACTTTGGAGGAGGTTAAGGATGTGGTTTTTGACATTGGTAATGAGAAAGCCCCTGGACCTGACGGGTATACAGCAGCTTTTTTCAAAAACCAATGGGCATTAGTAGGCCAAGAAATTTATGAGGCTGTCTTGGAGTTCTTTATCTCAGGGAAACTACTGAAGCAGATCAACCATGCTATGATTGTTTTAGTTCCCAAAACTGCCCACAACCCATCAGTGAAGGACTTTAGACCTATTGCTTGTCTAAATGTCCTTTACAAGATCATCACGAAGATTCTTGGGAAGCGCATTGCACCTCTCCTCAATGACTTGATTGACCCAGCTCAAGGGGCTTTTGTTCAGGGTAGATCGCTGGTTGATAACCTACTTCTTGCCCAACACTTGATCAAAGATTATGGTATTAGGAGGTCCACTCCCAGTTGTATGATTAAGTTGGACATCACAAAAGCTTATGACACTGTTTCTTGGAGGTTTCTTGAGGATGTTATGCTAGCCTTGGGATTCCCTTCCAGATTTGTTGCTCTTGTTATGGAATGTGTTACCTCTGCCTCTTCCTCCATTATGGTTAATGGAGAATCTCATGGATTCTTCAAGAGCAAGCGTGGGCTGAGACAGGGGGACCCTATGGCACCAACTTTATTCCTTTTCTGTATTGAGTATCTTTCGAGACTACTCAACATCAAAACGAGGGGAGATTTAATTATCATAAGGATTGTGCTAAATTGGGAATCACACACTTGGCCTTTGCTGATGATCTTATGCTCTTTTCTAGGGGAGATCTCACCTCTGTGCAGGTGCTTATGGACTGTCTGGAGCATTTCTCAAGTGTATCAGGTTTGGTCCTTAATCCTACCAAATCTAATATCTTTATTGCTGGGAAGCAGGGATACTAGCCACGACATCCTAAGTCTGGTTTCTTTCCCTCGTGGTCATCTCCCGGTTAGGTACTTGGGATTACCTTTGGCATCACAAAGGATCTCTGAAGCTGATTATGCACCTCTATTCAAAACTGTGGATGGTTTCCTCTCAAAGTGGAAGACTATGAAGATTTCATATGCGGGCAAGTTGGAATTGATCAGAGCAGTCATTCAGGGAGTTCAATCCTTTTGGCTACAGGCTTTCCTTGTCCAGAAATATGTTCTTGAACGCATCACTTCCCACTGCCGTGATTTCCTTTGGGGGAGCAAATTCGCCAAGGTGGCTTGGTCTGATATTTGTAAACCCAAAACAGAGGGGGGACTGGGGCTTAAAGATGCCGGTAAGTGGAATGATGCTTTATTATGTAAACTACTTTGGGATCTGGCAGCCAAGAAAGATTCGCTCTGGGTAAGATGGGTGCATTCTGTGTACATTAAAGATACTGATTTTTGGCAGTGGCAACCCAAAAGGAGGCATTCTGTTTTCTTTAAAAGGTTAGCCTAGGTTCGAGAGCTTTTGGTTCAAAAGATTGGTAACCATAACACCCCGATGGAAGTGGCTTTGCAACCTTACTGTTTGGGAAACACCCTTGTTCCAAGTAAGGTGTATGACTTATTTAGGGTAAAGGCCAACCCCAAGCCTTGGATGGCTTTCATTTGGCACTCAACCATTCCTCCTAAATGCTCATTTACGATGTGGCTTGCACTTAGGAGGAGGTTACCCACCAAAACTAACTTGGAATTCTTGGGACTTCCATTGGATTGCACACTTTGTGGTCATGCAAAGGAGGATGTGAACCATCTATTCTTTGAATGCAGTGTCTCACAGCAGGTTTGGGGGACCATTAAACATTGGTTACGCATTGATGGGTATTTGAGTACTTTGGACAGGGCTATCAGATGGATGAAGTCTTTCCGAAGAGGGGATGCTATTATGAAGAAGACGAGGAGAATTGCTTTAGCTTGCACGGTGTTCCACATCTGGAAGCAAAGGAATGCCACCCAATTTGACCAAGTACCCCTATGCATTGAGGCTATGATTTGTAAAATTAAGGTGATGGTTTTTTCAATTTTGGGGAGGCTTTGGCCATTGTATTCCCTTTCGTATTGATGTATGTTTCGTTGTTTTGCTGTTTCTTGGCCTGTGTGCCTTGCGTTTGTTTACTTGGAGGCGTTTTGGTGATTGTAATGATGCCGTGTTGGCATTGGCAGGTTTGGATCTGGTTCACTACCATTTCCACGCTCGGGTATGCCCGTTCTATTTGTATATTCCTATTCTTTTTTCTATTTACACCTTTTACCTATAAAAAAAAACCAAACAAATAGAATGAAGGATATTCAGCTTCTAAGAGCACAAAACTCAAGTACGGATTACCTTTTTATTTGGGATATAGAACAAATGAGAATAAATATAAAGAACCTGTCAAATCTTAATGTTGTGCTCATGTGATGATTAAGTTTTGCTATAAAAGATGGAAACACCTAAATATGCAGATTCTCTTGTGTTAAAGATCAATAGTACTAGTTTTAACCTTGTGCTCCACACAAGCTCATATATAGTTGAAAACTTTTAGCATTCTTATATATTATATTTTAATTTTAAAATATAATTTTATGTATTTTAACTCTGACTATGTTGCATAGCCGGTCCCAAGCCTGGACAAAAGAGGAGAGGTGTGTTAGGTCTCGGAAACCAACGTAAAAATTTGTCGAATCTACATGACATGGATCAAACACGACATTTACTTGGCACGAAGTGATCAAGAGTGGTCTATACGTGAATGATCTCGCTACAGATATGATACATGACAAGGCACAATGGTGTCATTTGATCAATGTAGCTGACGCCACCTACTGGGATATGGCTTTGTCGTTGTTGTTATATAAATTTATGTGTTTTAATTTTCTTATAATGTACCATATATGGTATGTGTTATATACGCCATTTGTCCCTAAATGGATTGCATGGTTGCAACTACGATGCAAAACCCCATATTAATTAAATTATTCACAAATTGGTAAAGAAAAAAACAAAGGTGATAAAAATATTTTATTTTATCAAATGACTAATGAAAAGATTTAAATAAACAAAAATATCGAGAGACCAAATAGTAATAATGCAAGTCATTAAAGGATGGAGAGAGTAAATATTTTCAAATATGGTATTCTTTTATAATTTTAGAAAATGAAAAAAATACATGGTAACAAATAGGTGTAAATTTAGGAATATTAAAAAATTCATACTCTGTAATAACTTATTAATTTCAACTATGCCTCTATGTTACTATGGTATATAAAGTATTAAAAGACATTTCAAAATTTTATTTTGATATCATATTGAGATGTCAACACCTAAATATGTTGATTCTCATGTGTTTAAGATTGATAGTATTTTCTTACACAAGAAGAAGTGAGGAACCAAGGACTATGACTATCTCTCTATAACTCAAAAAACCTAGTTTTCCAATTTAGTCCCTTCTTGAAAAACATTTTACGATTAAGATATAAAATCCCATAAACTCATCTCTTTTTTAACTAAAATTGAAAAGGCGCATATGCTTAGGTTTTTTAAATACAAAATATGGGTGCCCATGGAACGATATAACAAAGAATGGAGGTGAGTAAACATTGTCCCTCTTAAGAGAAGCACCAGACTAATGACCTAACCTAATAAAAGGTATTAGAATGAGCAAGAGCACACTGAAAAGAAATGAAACTAATAGTTAAAACTTACAGAGTATGATGCTGTCAAGAAACAGTTAATAATCTGCCATGTATAGCCAACTGCACTAAAAGATAGATCAGTAATTCCTCCAGATATTGCTGAAATTATCTGCATAACACAAATGCACAAACTTAAACTTCTTAAAAAATATGCATATGCCGACAGTTGACAAATTTAAACTTTATCCCAATGCACGCATCTGCAATATGGAAGATAAATGCAGAAAATAATAAATTTATTTAAGAGCAGCAAAGGTTATGCTCTCCCTACCCCTAATGACCTTGAGTACAATACCCGATAGCTGACTTAATGCTATGTTTGATATAAACAATACTGTGAGAGAACAGAAACTACAGAGGCCGCAGAGACTTTTAATTGTAGGTTTTTTCCGTCAAACAACAGTTTCTTTATTCAGCACCCACCACACCCTGTATCTCTACACCCACCCCCTATGAAAAAAATGAAAAAAAAATCAGATGGTATACTTAGCATAGACAATAAATCATGATCTAGACTCTTCTCCTATGCAGCCAAAATGTTGGAATTTTGGTATTTTATATACCAATCGTTGGACTTTGACCTTTCAATATAATGATTGTGTTGAACACTTAAACCCCCGCAATGATTTTTTTTTCTGATATCCTACGTTGAAATTCTGTACTATGTTTTTCAGATGTCCAGCTTAACATATTGCTCTAACATAATGATTTGATAGGGGTTAAGCATACTAGCATAACCATTGGTCTTTTGTACTCCATAATGATTTGAGAAAAATGACAAAAAAGTCCAGCAACATTATTATGAGGAAATACCAAAAGTTCAGGAAACCATTATGTTAGAACACAATCCTTATGATGGAATTCACAAGTTTAAACTACGCAAATATGAAGGAAACACACATTCAGAGCTTACCATCAAGAAAAGAGCAACCCAGACTCTGTTGTCATGGTGTGTGTTAAAAAGATACATTTCACCAACAGCAGTTATCACATTAGTTACATTCTTCAGGACTGTGACCATGGCAACGTTAATGTATTTCAGACTGCATGAAACACAATTATGAGAAGCATTCTAATATAGTAATATTGAAAATTACTCCCGCATTCCCTTAAAAAAAGTTCTATTCCTTAACTAGTTTTTGTCCCATAAAAAGTCTTATTTCTCAATTTATCTAGAAATGTTGGTATATGCAGTGCTTTCTAGAAGTTGTACCTTATTAAAATTAGAAAAGGTGTACACCGATCAATGTGGACTCCTTTTATGGGATGGAGGGAGCATAACAGCTAACACATCATAGGTGAAATTTAGAGGAGTTTGAAGTATTAAGGAATTTGAAGTTCTGTATGACAGCCTGATAAGATCTGCATCACTGATAGGAGTGATAGCAGAAGGTCACCTTAATTATTTACCCAGTGTTGTTAAATTGAGTGTGTCACTATTCTAATTAAATCACTATTCATTAAATAAAAGGATCCTCAGGTTATTAAGAATCCTGAAGTCATAGGTTAGCCTAGTTTGTTAGATCTTATCAGTTTGTTATTTTAATTTTATCCGTTATTTTGATCACATTAAGATTTTCTTGAATCCTATTCCTTTCTTCTGTGAGATTCTTATTGAGAGAAGAAATAAGAGTTCTATTTAGTTTTAATTTAGATCCTGAATTAATTCTAGGAAATTCTATCATTTGGTATAAGAGTGCTCTTTACCAGATCCTTATAGTGATTGCCCGTTCAAACACTCCCCACAGTGAGAATGGTGAAACCAACGAGCAACCAACGAACGAGGCTATTCGCCCAACAACACTCTAGCACAAATCACTGCTAAGCTTTCTGTGCTAGATGACCTTAAGGCAGAAGGGACTGCCCTGATGGCGCGAGCCAGAAGTAATTCTGGCAGTACCCTGATGATTTTGATGATGAAAACGATCACAACCACCACTGATTTCCCAGATCCAAAGTTGAGTTCCCTAAATTCAGCGGCAGAGATTCACGGGGTTGGGTGTTGAAGGCTGAAAAGTACATCCGTTACTATGGAACATCGGAAGAAGCTAAGGTTGAGATAGCGGCCATGCACCTGGAGAGCGGCGCTCTCGACTTGTTCTCCACTTCTCCTCAACCAATGCTGAAAGGACGCTCTTGTATTGGGAGGAATTCATCAAAATCATTGATGAGCCTTATGGACTGCCAGAACACTTGAACATAGACGAACACCTTGTCCTAATCAAACAAACACGTTCTGTACAGGACACTCGTCAAAAATGGGCAAGAACGGTTGCTAGAAGCCGAAATTGGTCTGACCATTGTCTCTTGGGTGTCTTTATGGGTGGTTTACGAGAAGATTTGAGGACGGAGGTAAGAACTCACAAACCCAAATCTGTGTTCAGGTCTTCAAGTCTAGCCCTCGAGTTTGAGAAACGGAATATGCCTCTTCATTTCAAGGCAAGTCCAATGGGATCAAGCCAGGTTGCCGGTCCAGATTCTATTGACCAAAACCGAGAGATAAAAATTTGACCCAGTTGCACTCACCCCAGCCACTTGTGTTGCATTCTCAGGATCTTCAGGCTCAACATCGATGTTGCCAATTTCAAGAATTAGTTAGGATAATTCAATGAAGTAGCAACACAGGGATAAGGGGCTTTGCTGCCAGTGTGGGGATCCCTTTTGGCCGGGACATTGTTGTTTGAATTCATCTACTACATTCTCTTTGATGGAAGTCGATGAGGATGGTAATTCGATGAACCCTGAAGTGGTTCAAATTTTGGGGAGGTAAAAGAGGAGGAAGTGTCCTTTAATGCGATTCTGAGGAGGCCAAAGTTTGCCACTATGAAAATAAGTGGAAAATTACATGGGCGTGAAGTTTTCCCGTTGATCGATAGCTGGTCGCCGCATAACTTCATTTCTGAAAAACTTGTGCAGCAACTTAAGCTACATGTTTCCTCAGTTCAGAAAATCAGACATTTGGCATAGTGATAGGAGACGGCTCTATTATTCGGTGTAATCAGATTTGCAAATCCGTCTCAGTTAAACTTCCAGGTTTGACTCTTACACAAGATTTTTACCCATTTCCACTAGTTGGATTCGATATGGTTCTTGGTATCAAATGGTTAGCCTCCTTGAATACCATTCAAGCAAACTGGAATGAAATGTTTTTTTTTATTTTTTGGGTTGATGGGAAGCGATATAAATTACAAGGGATCTCAAAAGTTGATCAAAGCATTAGTTTAAATTCAATGGTGTGTCTTAAGTTGCAGATAGGAGTAGAGGAATTTCCATTGAGTTTGAAGGAGTTACTTAATGATGATGCTATTGCTTTCGATGAACCTCAAAACCTTCCACCAATATGCCCCCACAATCATGCCATTCATATTTTTCCTAACAAACCATCACCCAAAAATTGCCCATACCGTTGCCCTTTTTTTCAAAAGAATGAAATCGAGCGCCAGGTGGAGGGTCTATTATACAAAGGGTTCATTCGGTCTAGTACAAGCCCCTTTGCTAGCCTTGTTTTAGGTAATTAGGTGTAGCAAGAAAGATGGGTCGTGGCGCTTGTGTGTAAACTATCGCACCCTCAACAAGATTACCATCCCACAAATACCCAATCCTGAGTATTGATGAGTTGCTGAATGGGTTACATGGATGAGTCTACTTCACAAAAATTGAATGTCAGTAAGGTTATTGCAAGATTAGGGTACATTCTGAACTCCCCTTGAACCGGCTTCAGTCCTTGACCACTGCTGGTAGGAGTCTAGCTTGGAATTGTTAATACAATGGAAGGGTAGATCATATGAGAATTTAGCTGGGAAGAATATGAGTTAATACAGCAGCTAGACTGCCTAGACCTCCACCTTGAGGCCAAGGTGGCATTTAGAGAGGGGAGTAATGATAAGATCTGAATCACTAGCCACCTTAATTACATCACTATGTGTTGTTTGATTGAGTTTGTTACTATTTTAATTAAATCACTCTTCATTAAATAAAAGGACTCAGTTATTAAGAATTCTCAACCCCTAGATTAACCTAGTTTGTTAGATCTTATCGGTTTGTTATTTTGATCTTATCAATTTGTTAGAATTGTTATAAGTATCTCAGCTTCTAGAGATCTAGATAATAAATTATTGATCACATTGAGACTCTCTTGGCTTCTATTCATTTACATCAGTGAGATTCTTATTGAGAGAAGGAAATGAGAGTTCTATTAAGTTTAATTTAGATCCTGAATTCATTATAGCAAGTTTCTATCACATACCTTTTCCAAGTCGGGGTAAAGTCTACAATCTGCATACACCCCCATCCCCCAAAACCCATGTGTGGGATTCTACTGGGTCGGTTGTTATTGTCTGGTTGTTTAATAATTTTAAAAAAAATGTTGCAACAAACACAAGTGACCATATCATACCTAAACATACTTGTGATTAGCATCCCAACAAAGATGAAATTAACAGGTAGCCAGACTCTAATAAGCTTCCACGTGAGTGGCTCTGAGGATATTAAGCCTATGAATTTTAAAAGATAAACAACCACAACCGAGACAAAATTCTGCAGCATAGAAGACAAAAAGGGTTTGTCACATTCAAGTACAACATAAATACTTGCATGTTCTAAGCTCTTTTTATGGTGAATAATAGTTATATACTCTTGATGAGTAGATTGAACTGGACCTGGTAGAGCATCAATGATATCCCGGCATTAAGGTCGTAGCTGGAAAGGATGTACTTGTTAATCAGTATCATGCAGCATGAAGAAATACAATATGCGAGTCCAGATAGTAAAGCCTTATTGCGTAGTGTGATAATCCTATTACTTCGTGGTGGCCGCCCTCTGCCTTTCTCCAACTTGCCACCTTCCAAATCATCATCACTTTCAGTATGAGCCTTCATGGTGAAAGGCAGCCTACAAGAACACAAAAACAGTTAGTACCTGAAACCGTTAAAGAGGCATTCAATTAGATGTATATGAGAGATTAGATCAGTTTTTCTTTGTGAAAGTCCTACAAATTCACCTCAAGGCATATGTGATCTTACTTCTAGCAAACTCTTAAACCAAAAGTGGGAAATACTCCTCCCTCAGTTCCATTAAAGGTTCCACATTTCCTTCTTACCATATCCCACAAGATAAGATCCCTCTTTCATTGTTGCAACAGATATTTGAAGGAAGGAAAAGAAAATTGTTCCAATGAAACATCATCGGTACCTAGCTGTTCCAAGAAGCATTAGAATTCCCAAAGGATAGCAAGTTGCTAAAGTTCAAGGAAAGCAAGGTAACAGGTTAATGGATTATAAGGTAAAAAGGCAGCCATTTTAGAAGGGCGAGCTCACCTCATCATACCTGCTTCTCCTTCCCACAGGATTTCAACAAGCTAGTAGACTGTGGGGGTCATCATCCATAAAACCATTTACCAGCAATGGATCCTGATAATCTAAAGTTGGTCCTATTCTAAAATCTCCTTCTAGTCATGCCATTACGCCCGCCTAAGATTTAGCATAAGAAAGTTGAAAAGGGAAAATTAGCCATTTAGGAGACTGAAGAAAGTTATACACCGTACTACGTACTCCGTATATACTTCGTCCGAATGAGCTCTTTCAAAGGGGGAAGACGACTGAATCTGAAATGACTGTCCAAAAAAACAGGTCAAACCCAATAGAACCACAATTCAATTTGATCCAACGTACTCCGGTATAAAAGATTTTTGAAATGGTTTATGGAGCATGCTATATATATTGTACCTCATTTGTTTGGTATGCATAAAGTGTTGTGCGTAAACAAAAATTTACACTCATACAAATTGTTAGTGCATTAACAAAAATTAGCATTACACTAATACAAAATATTAGTGCATCCCTACGGTGTGCAAAATGAGGTACAAATTTTTGGGGTACAAATAGCTTTATCCATCATTTATTTTAGAATTAATTCAATAATTGATTTTTTATAATAGGGAATTTCCTATTTAGTCTTCTATTATTACATATTATCTCGGTGATTCTTCTTTTATGGATATCTTTTCACAAATAGTCCTTTATTGATTTTCCATCATATTGGTGTTAGTTTAAAGACTAAAAGTATAACTTCACAATTATAATATATCTCTTTTGTCATATTTTATAATAGAAGACTAAATATATAAACTTTTTTGTTATAAAGTATCAATTATTAAATTTATTCTTTATTTTAATATCTAAAATAATATAATAAAAATAAGATTACGCTTTTAATTTTTTTGTTAATGCTCATTTTTAGTGTGTACAGTTATGTTTTTAAACAAGTTTGTGCACACATGACATAGTCATCTTGTATTTTATTATAAATTTGGAACATGTTTATTTTTTTATATTATTCGTAAGTAATATTATTAAATACATTTAAAAGGTAATTAAAAAATTAAAAAAAAATATTCTAATAGTTTTAGTTACTCCATCTGTCTCAAAATAAGGTTCCTATTCAGTTTGTGATGTTTGATTGAAATTATTTTCAAATCATTATATTATGAGTAAAAGTTGGTATAGAATTAAAAATAAAAATTATATAGAAACTACATATATAAAAAATTCTATAAAATAAGTAGTTACAAGGTTATTTTATTTTATTGAATGATCGATAAAAATTTATTGAAAAAGTAGAGTTAATTCAATATGTGAAAAGATTTGTTCAAGTAAAAAGAATGTTATCATATTCAACTTTGTCCAAATTTTCCAAAACATCATCATGAAGATTGGTTCATTCACATGAAAAACTAAGGAAACAACGGAGAATAGAGCTCTAAAAGTGCTCTGAATTGCGTGAGAACTGTGTTCCTCTAGAAGAATGCGAAAATTCAGGCTTTGAATTCAATGGTAAATTGTTTTCGCATCAACCGTCCTAGGATACAAAAGAAGTGTATCCCAACTTGTATTATAAAAATTAAATAAAAAAGGTTTCAATTGATATTTTGTGTCATTGTAAACTATCACATTAGCATTACATTAATATAAAATGTTAGTGTTTGGTTTCGGGATACAAAATGGAGTACAACTTTTTAGGCACATACTCCGTAATTTAATTCTTTGCGCATGAGTACTTTATTAAAACTTTTATTTCTACCCGTGCTTTGCACATGTTCAGACGAAATTTTTTTCGATTCTACAATGTGGATCTTGGTTTTTATTTAGCATATTATTTAAAGGTCAAATATAAATTATCTAGGTTTGATGTATTTTTACAACTATAATTTTCCTCTCTGTATAAATTCAAAAATATATTAATATAAAAAGTATTAGTAATCAAATGATTCTTTTCCTCACATTAATTTAAAAAACCTAAATTACTGACCTTACAATTATATACTTTCTCTGTCCTTGAGTATTTGTCAACTTTTGACATTATAAGTCAAATGTTAAAAACAGTTAATCGAAAAAAATCAAAATTGGACAAATACTTAGGGACGGAAGTAGTAATTAAAAAATGAGAATTCTTCTCATCCATAATCCCAACTACCCCCTGCAATGATTATAAAAAATTATTATTCTTTCTTGCATTTTTTTAAAACAAAATCTTAAATTAGTGATCCTAAATCTCTATGACTAAAAATTTTTAATTTTAAGACATTAAGATTCAATTAGGGAGAAAAACCAAAATAGCACTCTAAGAACATTTAAAATACTCTAAATAGCAGTGTTATATGTTTCGTACCTGTAATTCCGATTTTGTCCTTTAATTAAACAGCAAATGTTCATTATTCACTGCCAAAAAATATGATTATTTTGGGCAGTGTGGTTGTTCACTTGTAATTGTGTAGTGGGCAGTGTGGTTTTTATATGTGAGTTTTTAATGTGCCAGTATAGAATGGATATATGTTGTTACATCTTACGGCAGTGTGTAAATGTATTATTGTGTCCATTAATTTCATGTTGTACTGTAATGTCCATTGATTTATGTGGCAGTGATTTCATGTATTAATTCTACACTGTCAAAAAATGTATGACTATTTTCATGTATGAATTCCACACTGCCCAAAAAATGTATAGCTCTTTTATGTATGAATTCCACAATATTTTCATGTATGAATTCTACACTGCGAAAAATGGATATGATTGTTTTCATTTATGAATTCCACACTGCCCAAAAATGTATGACTGATTTCATGAATAATCTATTGCACCAAAACACACTGGCCAAACATGGGCTTGACTTTTTTTGGTCTTTCTTGATTTTGTATAATGTTAGAAGATGTTAGTATTAGACATATGCTGAATTTCATTTATGTGGTACTGAAAAGAAATGGATAATGAAGGTATTATGTTGTAAATTTTAAGACTTTGTAAGCAGCATACACTGCAACATTATGTAAAATTGTGCAACATAGCACACTGGCCAAAACATAGGACATAACACACTACCAAAAAGTATATACCTAGATCACAAACATTCCACACTGCCAAAACTCTTTGAGCTTACACTTCATACTTTGTTTATTAAAGCTATTCAAGCACTAGTCATTTTGGTGATTTTTTTGTGTCCGCTTCCAATGGAACTCAATGAATAAATTATTACATTGGGATTTTTAGATATAAATCTCATTCGACCAAAACACACTAGGCAAACATGGTCATATGACATTTCCAAAAAGTGTAGCTAGAAGTTGATTATTTCACACTGTCAAAAAAATATCAGCCTCTATTCAGTAACACATTTCCATAACGAACTCTTGAATGTTTAAACCCAATAGTCATAGAACCAAGCACATGGCTTTTGCACAATATGAAATTCAATTCATAATTTATAACATTGGTAATTTTATATGTATGTCTAATTTCACTGCCATATTATTAATGGAAGTTAATGAAGTACATACAAATTTGTTTGATGATAGCTTCAACACCGTAGCTTTAATTTTTTACTAGATCTACGATAGAAATTTTAGAGAAATTTATTGGATCAATTTTGAACTCGACCGATCTGCGTTCCTTTAACGCGATATGATGATCTGATGATCACCTGTAACTCCCATGCGGATATGAATCCGTCGCCGTCCTCGTCGAACACATTGAACGCCTCCGCCAGATCACTCTCCTCCTGCGAACTCGTGGCATCGCCGCCGCATAGATCAGAAGAAGACGTCGTTGAGCGACCGGTGGAGTGCGTCGAAGTCTTCGAATCGGAGACCGCAATTTCCTGGTTTGATGAAAGACCAGACCGTGGACTCCATCTCGGAGATATCTGTGTGGAGGCGGAGGAGGTTGAGCGCCTCGCTGAGCTCGTCGACGGTGATCATGCTGTCGCTGTTCCGATCGAAGAGGTCGAAGATCCATCGGAGACGGACGGAGTTGAGGCTCGGACTGCACAGCCGGAATGAAGACGTGGTTCCATTGCGAAGGATTGCGTTGGGAGGAGCTTGAGACTCGCCATCCATAGCTAGACGACTGGTGCCAGAAGATTTATTTTAAATTTTATGCAGCAAGATAAAAGGGATTGACAACTAAGGGTATGATTGGAAGAGATTGACAACATAAATAGCTAATTTGGTAAAAAACAATAAGCAGTGCTAAATGCGTAGTATTAGATGAGTTAGAGTGCTACGTAGGGTGATTTCTTATTCAATTATTCGTCTCCTCCACATTGACCTTAAAAAACATTATAATGTTAGTGCTCTAATGATTTTGTCATGATAGTACTCTGGTCAAGATATAAAATATTCTATCAAAATACAAATAGTTACAAATTGGAAATTGTATTTTTTTTGTATGTGGTTGTAATCTGTAACTGAGTCTCGAACTTATTAGATATTGCATCTTGGATTTTTTGCACAATTTTTCTTACTTTTTTGATTATCCTAAATCTTCGTTGTCTCGAATCTTCTCACGCTCCCTCCACACCTTGATCTTCTTTGTCACAATCTTCTTTGCATAAATATGTGTCGTCTCATAAAATATCATCCTATGAAGTTTCCATGTACGATTGCGTAAATGAAAACGTATAAAGTAAATCCTCTCATTCAATTTTTTTTAATTTTATGTATAAACATTTTGAATTGTAATACAATATAAGTATGGAATGAGTAAATCGCAAGTTACAATATAAAATTATTTTGATTAAAATAATAAATCAAGTTACCAAGACAAAGTATAAAAGTCTTATTAAATCTTTTTTTCTAATTTGTTTATTCTAAATATTCAATATTTTAAAAATAGTCAAATTGTATGGAAATATATGAAATCCCCATCAATAGCACTAAAAAAACATAAAAAGTCTAAAATAGCACTGTTATTACTTCTTTTACTTTCGTAGGAGTGAGTAGTGTATTAGGCATGAAATTATTCCTAATCTACCCTTCTTTTAGTGCGGCAAAAAAAACCACTGCCACTGCACCCTAATTTTCTGCCTTAGATCCAATTATTCTCAGACTTTTTTCAATGCCCTCGATGTTTGATCAGTCGAAAATCCAACCATGGATGAAGTGAATTGACAATGACCAGTACTAGTTTTTCGATGATTTTGAAGTGATTCAGCATCAATTTATGCCAGCAAAGCACGATCACCATCGTCGATGCCCGATTGTAGTGGCAGATAAAGTGAAAGTGATTCCTATCAACTATATTGAAATTTAGAATTCTCTACCAGCGTCTCCCTCTCTATCGGATCCGCCTTTGTCTCCTCTGCTACCACCGGGAGGAAGTGTGGCGTTGTAGCGGTGGAGGGTGGCAGTGTGGCAACAAGAGGTGGCAGTGTGGCGGAAGAGAGTGGTAGTGTGGCGGTGAATTTTATAGTGTGGTGGCAGAGGGAGGTAGTGTGGAAGCGTCGATGGTTGTGGTGATGATGGCACTATGGGTCAAAGGATGGTTGTGTGACGTTGGTAGTCGTTGTGTGGCGGCAGCATTGGAGGCAGTGTGGCGATAGCGGACAGCGTGGTGGT